AAAAGATTAGAAAAAAAAGAATAATAAAATGAGTTTATTTATACTGTAAGATAACATAAAGAAAAATATTAGTTGTATTGAGAATTGATGGATGGGAAGAAGTCTTTGTAGATTTATATGCTACTTATATGAATGTAATATTCGCACAGTAGGAGACAGAACTGATAAGGTGTGATGATATTTATTCAATTATATGCATGAATAAAATTTTTGTTTTTATTTTAAAAATAAGATTGTAATTTATCTGATAAGTTAAACAACTTTAAAGAATTCATTGAACAATTTCGAATGAAATATTATAGATTTATACTTTTTGATCGTATTCAATGAATCTTATTATAGATGACACTTCAAGGTAGAGGAGGAGGCGGATTATTTCATATGATAGATGATGACAAACTTTCTACATATATATTCAATTACTATATACTGTATTTATGTTTGACTGGCATTTAGTTTGCCCTTAAGCAAAACATCAAATCAAGAATCATTAAAAGAACAAGTCTCCTGCTGTACATATCACTATGAACATTTGTGACCTATTCAGAAAGATGTCACTTGTACTTTAAATAAATACTCATATGTGATGTTATTAATTAATGATTACTACTAGATTGATTCAACTGTTTTTCTTGGCATGATTACATAAATCAATGTTTTGTTTTTCTTTCAAATTTTAGTTGAACAATTTATTTGATAATTTAAAATTCTTTTATTGCCCGTGTAAATCAGATGGTTAGATTGCCGTGCTTATATACAGCATTGAGTAACGCGGAAGTCGCGGGATCGAGACCCGCCATGGGCATTTTTTTTTTATTGCAACAAAATATTCATCGATTATTATTATTTTACTTTATCAAAAATAGATAAATTTCTTGTTGAATAATAAGATTCAATTCATACAAGAAATAATTTTTTTTTTCTACACTTTTTTTTTGTTCTACATAATAAAGCGTGAAACTACTTGTTTAAACATCAATCATAATGTGAGAATGTCAACAAGCATTTAATTGAAAATCAGATAATGAATGAATATCATCATTAGCTAAATCGAAGTTTTCAATTTCTTGTCCACTTAATAGATTTTTAATTCATTTCTTTTAGAGATCAATCTTGAAAAAAATTTAGTATACATTATTTTGATTTTAAGATTTTTTTTTAAATAAGAAAAACATCAGTTATATAAAAATTTTGATATCTATATTACTGAGATTAAATCAATATTGATTATTTGACAGAACATTTTTTTCTTTCGTATATATTAAAGACTACTATAACATAACTATAGATTGGAATGTGCCCTCTTTTTTTCAGATGGTAATAATAAATGAAATGAATGTTTATTTGAATAGATCAAGATTTAGATTATTGAAATTGGTCGGCGCAATAGATTTTTTATCATAACATAAAACAACGAATTTTTCTACAACTGGTCTAAAACTGGATTTTTAAAAAATACCGACTGATCAATCGTTTTTGAGTCGAGACTCTGTACATTATATAGTTCCTAATGAGCTATGAGTATCCTGAAAAGAGTTTATGCTAATAGCGTATTGGTACCGAGATACTGCATTTTTACGATATTTATTAAGAGAATGCTATGGTCCTTCTCAGGAACATCAAGAAAACTGATTTTCGAAATTCAACTTGAAACTTTGCATAAAGATAGGCGCTAACAAGAATAATTGATTGTGAAATTTTCAGGTCTTTTGATTTGTTCCTATCCTGAAATACGAACATCGAATCTGCCCATGTATACGAGCAATGTAAAAGATACGCTTTTACCATAGCTGTATCTTAGGTTAGAAACAACAAAAAGATTTGAAACCTTCACAATAATCTAATCTTGTTAAGGCCTATATCTGTACAAAGTTTCAAGTCGAAATTCGAAAATCAGTTTTGCTGGTGTTCCTGATAAGAAGAACCATGACATTCCTCATGGTCAGATTCGCAATCTGAATGATTTACATCTCTTTCTAATAAAAAGTACTAATGTGACAGGCGATTTCAAAGCAAAATCAACACAATTAGAAGTCAATGAACTGATGAACGCGATGCGCTTCTGAAAAAATAAATCTAGGATAATGACTCTGTCTTTGTATCCACTTCTTCACACTTGTCTAAGAAATTCAATAGACATATAGTCTTTGCATTGACCAACGTGAATAGGATTTCGAATGAAACGGTATTTTACAATACAAATGATCATTGGTCAACCTTGTCAACGGCTCAAAGTGTAGACTTTATAACTAGTGATTTTTTCCCACATATTGATTGGACCGTTCACCAAACTATTCTAGTGCTTTTAGAAGAATTTTGGATGAGATAGCAGAAGATGCAGTCTTGCGATCAATGATATCAGCATTACATTTGTTTTCTTGCAGCTTTGAAATGTCATCTAACACAATGGAAAGAAAAAGAAAAGTACCGTCGTTCTCTTCCTTCGTTCATCGAGGAACGGTTTCTTGATGTTCGACGTGTACGAACTGTGTACTACAGAGAAAGAAAGAGAACAGGTGTGAGCAGTGAAGATCTTTGAGTTTTATTGAGAATCATAACAAGTGATGTTCAGAAGAAGACTTATAAATACAGAATGGCAAGATGGACTGATTTTTTTGTCGTTCATCCAAAGCTACTACGATCAACAAGAAAACACCTTTTGGGCCCATCTGTCCAAAATTTACAAAGTAAAAGTACTCTCCTTTTCTAAACTAGCGATCGGCATTAAAATCTTATCTGATGAGCGGAAGATTGTTGATGAACTTTTTAAATCTTTTAGAGATCTATCTAAAGTTCTCGAAATTGATCCATCAAATCCTCACGATATCTAGATCGAGAAAGAATATCAATGAGTATATTGTATTGCGGTTTTATATGAAAACATTAGCAAGAATACAATTCTCATTCAACAAGTATCTCGATCTTTAATTATTTATTTCAATTACATAAAGAAAGAAAGAAAAAAGTCTACAATTAAATCAACAACTACCACAATTTATATATGTTTCTATTTGGCAAATACTAAATAGAATTTTTTAATCGAACGGAAATATGATAAGTATTCATTGAAATATCAAGTGTATGTTGTATTTTATGTTCTTAACTATAATGTATAAAAATCATGCATCATCTTGACTAAATAAAAATATCTTTGAAAAATAGATATAGTTTGTAATGTTAAATATGAATAATTTCCATAATCAGATATTGTCTTCATTCGATAATGCTTAGTTGTCCTCTTACGAATGATTTGTATTATGAATTGCTTTACTATACTGTTGTCTATTCATTGTTTTTTTTTCATTATTTCTATCTAATTAATTGTAAACAAACGTTATTGTGTATCCGTGACTCAAATATGATCTTTCTGGCGTGACATATCATCATTCTCAGTAAAAAATATTTAATAAGAGGCATATCTCGAACTATGAGTCATATGTCACAAAAGTAAACATGGATTGAATCTATTTAATAATATTTGAGATTACTGTATATGACGATTTAATTTTGAACAAATCATTGAGAAATAGTTGATACATATGATCGGAGCATTTTGTTGATTTATCTTTATCAAAGTATTAATTATAATGAAATTTGCTGGAATGAGCATGATTTGAAATTATAGTAATTAAATCTATCTTATACTTTAGTTATTCTAACTAATTCATTGGTGATATTCTACTCACAAATTGGACCGATGTCATTTAAAAAGACTTTCAAACTATTCGTCTTGAATTCCAATCTTAAATCTGGCATAGTCAATTATGATAGATAAAAGAGTATAAAAAAGAAAGAAATAAAATTCATGACGAGATCATGTCTGTTATATCTGTGATAGGTCATTGCCAAAGATCTGTTACAATATTTAGGAAGACGAAAGAGCAAAACTCTCGTCTTATACTTCAATACTTTGTTTAGTTCGTATTTCACAAATGTCAACAGTGTACAAAACTGAAATTGGTATATAAATATACTATGACAAAAGTATTTTAAAGAGAGTATGCAATGCTTAGAAGAAAAAACTGATTCAGGACTACAAAAGAAGAAATTATTTAAGATTCTGAAAGATACAAAGAAAGACATAGTCGACTCAGGATACAACAGAAATATGTTCATGTAGAGCTTGTTTTTTATATTTGTAAAGTTTAGACAATGTTTAGTACAAGTCTTTTGTTATAATATTACAACTTAGAATCAATGAAATTCTTTTATTTAATTATGAAAAAAAACTGCACAATATCGAATCAGTTTAATTCCATTCATTCTGCTGCTAACTTGGACAAAATCCAACGAAATTGAACTTCAATCAGCTTGCAAGCCAATCAGGAATATAAAGCCAACTTTTTAAAAATTCTTTGAATGTATTTTTATAGCCTCACAGGTGTTGTTTTGTCTCATTACTATGCATTAATTCAAAGTATCCAATGTATCTAGATCAAAGAAATTTGATGTATACTTAACATGCTTCAATAAATTATGAGTTACTTCGATGTCTTTTAAGCTACTTGAATTATTTTTATATTTAAGTGCACTTTAGGTAGATAAGTATGCTGTTTTCCCCTAGCGTCATCTACATATTTCTTGATAAACGTAAATAACAAATTTTCTCTTCTACTACCAAGATATTATTCATGCCATCGTGTCCTTTTTTTTCTTGTTCTTCATAGAGAAAAACTCGTATCTATTTATTTTCATATGCCCTATTTGATGTTAAGTTACTTTCTGATATGCGTAATTTTCACAAATTTCTTGGAGTTAAAAATAACACACTTAGATAAGCGAACGAATGTTATCAAAAAATAATAATGTAAATAATTTATTTATTTATTTATTTACTTTTCGTTGTCAGTACATTTTTAAAAGATATGTTCGATGATGTTTTTTTGTATAAATATTTTTTCTGTCTGTCCGTCATTATATTTAAATTAGATCTAATCAACAATTATTTCTTCTTTATAATATAAAATAAAACAAAAACAAAAAAAAAGAAAAAAACGAAAATGTCTATATCAAAAATAAAACATGCAGCGAAATCATTAAAAAATTTTCAAGGTATTCGTTTTGAAGAATGTTTGGATGATGGTGAAGCAGCTGAACAATTAAATAAATGGCTTTTAGAAGTATCATGGGAAGTTGCAAATAAAGGTTATTTATAAAAATTTTTTGTTATTTTGTTTTTTTTTTTGTTTTAATATATAAGATAATTTTAGTTGGAGGAATTTATACTGTTATACGTTCAAAAGTACCAGTCACAAAAAAAGAATATGGAAATAATTATATTTGTTTGGGTCCATATAATGATTCATTTGTAAAAACTGAAGTTGAAATTGGCGAATCAAAACTTGATGTTATTAGAGATACAGTTAATGAAATGAAACGTTTGGGTATTCATGTAAATTAAATTAAAAAGAAAAAAAGAAAAATTAAAATTTATATTATTTAACTAAGAAATATTTTAGGTTGTAACTGGAAATTGGTTAATTGAAGGTTTTCCTCAAGTTGTTCTTTTTGATATTGGTTCAGCAATACATAGATTAGATGATTGGAAAGGTGATTTTTTTCGACATGCACGAATTGGTATACCATATCATGATAGAGAAGCAAATGATGCATTAGTATTTGGTTTTTGTGTTTTTTGGTTTATTGGTATTGTAAGTTTTAACAAGACTATCTATATATGATAATTGATTGATGTTTTTGTTTTATTTCTAGTTTATTGATCAAGTAAAACGAAGACAAAAATGTTATGTTATTGCTCATTTTCATGAATGGTTAACTGGTGTTGGTCTTATAATGACACGTCTTTGTGGTTATGATTGTGCTTTAATATTTACTACACATGCAACACTTTTAGGAAGATATTTATGTGCTGGTTCAACAGATTTCTATAATAATTTACCTTTGGTATAAAAATTTTTTAAATAAAAATTATTTGAAATTTTTATTTTTATTTTAGTTTGATCTTGATAAAGAAGCTGGTAATCGTCGAATATATCATCGTTATTGTATTGAACGTGCAGCTGCATCATGTACACATGTATTTACAACTGTTTCAAAAATAACTGGAATTGAATCTGAATATCTTTTAAAAAAGAAACCAGGTAGAAAAATTTTCTATTTATATTATTATTGTTTTCTTTTTGTTTTATCTAATTAGATGTATTAACACCAAATGGACTTAATGTTCAAAAATTTGCTGCATTACATGAATTTCAAAATTTACATGCAAAAAATAAAGAAAAACTTCATGCATTTGTACGTGGGCATTTTTATGGGTAATTTATTTTTATCGTTGTTGTTTTTTTTTCTCTCTCTCTCTCTATATATATAAAGATTTTCTATTTAATTTAGACATTATGATTTTGATTTGGATAAAACATTATATGTTTTTACTGCTGGTCGATATGAATTTACAAACAAAGGTGCTGATATGTTTATTGAATCATTAGCTCGATTAAATCATATGCTTAAAGTAAAAAGAATTTATTATGTTAAAAATGCATATTGTTGTTGTGCTTTAAGTCATCAGGTTCTGATGTAACTGTCGTAGCTTTTCTTATTTTTCCGACAGCAACTAATAATTTTAATGTTGAATCATTACGTGGTCAATCTATTGCAAAAATGTTTCGAGATACAGTAAGCAATATACAAAGTGATATCGGAAAAAGACTATATGAAATTTCTCTTAAGTAAGTAAATTAAATAAAAACAAAAAAATCAATATAACAATTAGAATGTATTAAATTTATGATATAAAGTATTTCAGTAATAATTTGTCAAGTTTTTATAGTATACCAAAAGTGAAAAATCGATATGCAGAATTTTTAAAGTTGCTGTTTTTGAGAATATTTGATTTTAAATAATAATTGTATTTTCGGTGTATATATATATATCAAAAACATAAAATTAAAATAAATTATTAATCTATTGATAGAAAATTTTCTAAAATAATAAAATAATTTAATTTATTTCTTCTCAGAGGTCATCTACCAACTCCTGCAGAAATTTTACTTTCAAGTGATTTAATTGAATTAAAAAAATGTATTTATGGATCACAAGTATATTCTCTAATTTTGTTTTATTTTCTTTTTCAAAAACAAAATCTTCTTTTTTTTTTTTCTAGCGTTCAACATTACCACCAATATGTACACATAATGTATGTGATGATATTCATGATCCAATATTAAATGCTTTACGTCGTTGTGAATTATTTAATGCACGTTCTGATCGTGTTAAAGTTATATTTCATCCTGAATTTTTACGTTCAACAAGTCCATTATTACCACTTGATTATGATGAATTTGTACGTGGTTGTCATTTGGGTGTATTTCCATCTTATTATGAACCATGGGGTTATACACCAGCTGAATGTACAGTTTTGGGTGTACCAAATATATCAACAAATTTAAGTGGTTTTGGATGTTTTATGGAAGAACATGTTCATGACGCTCATACATATGGAATTTATATTGTTGATAGAAGATATAAAAGTGGTGATGAATCATGTCAACAACTTGCACAAGTAAAATTAAAGAAAAATAAATTTCAAAAATTGATTTTACTTGGTTTTTTTTTTTGTGTTTTAGTATATGTTTGATTTTTCATTATTAACTAGACGACAACGTATTATTTTACGTAATCGTACAGAACGATTGAGTGAATTACTTGATTGGAATGTATTAGGCATTGTAAGTTTAAAAACAAATAGAATATTCTATCACACAGAGGTATAATTTAGCCTAATTTCTTGTGATTGAACCTACTATAATATGCTATGAATGACTTCAGTTTGCCAGTATCTGTGGCCTACTTATCTATCGTGACTAGTATGTTTGTCTTTTCATATTAATATTATGATAATAATAATTAAAAGAAAGCAAAAGAGTGTCTTTATACGAAGATAAAGAAATTATACAGATCGAAATGATATAACTAAGTAGAAGATTTACTGATTTAGTACAATATTTATATGTCGGAAATAGACAAGAAAAAATTCCGATGTTCAGTAAGAACATTTTTGAATGTATTGGGCGAACAAAACTTTAAGGATATATTAAGTCTTGCTAAATGAATATGATACAGGAAAAAAAAATTAAAATTAATCAACGATTTGTATTAGATAATAATGATAATCATTTAGAATATAAACACTGTAAATTAGTGAAATAAATCAACAATATTGTCACAATTTTTAATTAACCGTACAAATTTTTAGAATATGATATCCAAGATAACATTTTGTTTTTCTTTATTAAAAATGTTTTTCCTGTGGATTGTTTATATCAACTATGATGGCTCTATCCGAAGTTGTAGTCAAAATCCATGAAATATAAAACAAGGGTTTTGCGAATCGGTCGAAAATTCTCAATTTTTTAGCTTGTTTTTTGACTGATTTCAATTGGTTTTGAGACCTATGTTTTGCGTTAGATAAAACTTAAGGATAGTTTCTGAAAGAACATTCAAAATTGATCATAATTGACATGGAGAATCGTTTTAGGAGTTCGGTAATTCTCAATACTGTGCATATGTTTTTGTAAGCACAGAAAACTAATTCCTTGAGTTTCTCTAATCGGAGTTTAGAATATCTCCAGTATTGAGAATTACTGCACTTCTAGCCATTCTTCATGTCAATTGTAATCAGTTTTGAACATTCTTTCCAAAGCTATTCTAAGGTTAATGCAAAACATAGGTCCCAAAATCAATCGAAATTGGTCAAAAAAAAGTAAAAAATATCATCTTAGACATCTTGTTTCAGGAGTGTGGATGTGAGCGTAGATTTAGATAGTCTCGTCAAACACACTTGCATCCTCAAAAGTTGATGGACGAAAAATGAAAGAAAACAATTTATGATCGGTCTAATGAATTTGTGACCCATTGGAAGTACTCCCAAGAAGACTGAATAATGGAATTTTGATCCAAAATTTTGCATATAGATAAGTCTAATAACTCTTAGAATATTCTGAAAGTTATAGCTGAAAAGAATGTTCCTTCGTCAAGTTATTAAGTTTTTAAGTAAACTTGATTTTTGCTTTACATGTCTGCGGCAAAGAGCTATGTTTTGAAAATTCAATATCTAAACGAAAGAACATTCTTTTCATTATACTTATCTATAGGCAAAATTCTAGATAAAGCCTCCATGATTCAGTCTTTCGGGAAGCATCTAAAAATGAGTCACAACTCTAGTAAATCGATCATAACTCGACAACAAAGGTCAATGAAAACGAATCCTTTTAGGCTTTCGTTAGTCTCACTAAGATTTGCCTGTAGGTCCAATATGAACTCAAATGACAAGTGTAGCTATGGGTAGTTCCATCGTAAGTATCGAAAATCTTATCATGTGTTTTTTTTTCTTTTTAGTATTATTATCGTGCTCGTCAAATAGCATTAACACGAATTCATCCAGAATTCGAAGAAGAAATTATCAAATTGGTATATATTTTCTTTCTATTATTTCTCTCTCTAGTTATATTTTGTCTTCAGGCAAATGAAACATCGTCTAATCCTTCAACACCAGTTATATCTCGTTCATCAACACCAGCACCACATGAACATGATGATGAAGGAACTGACGATGAAGATGAAAGTCATCCACCACCACCATCACAAATTTCATCTCAAAAAGTAATTCATTAAATTTTAAATATAATAATTAAGTAATTCTCATTTTAGGTTTCACCTAAACAACCTTCATCAATCGATCAAGCATTTGAACCTTCATTTGCACGTCCAGCGTCAGCTACACATCTTCCTTTAGATAAGCAATTTCGTGCAGCTGCTGTTGCTGCTGCTAATGCTGCAGCAACAGATGAACCAACATTTACTGATGCTCTTGATGATGAAATACGTCAAATAACAATTGGAAAAGACAATCAATCAAAATTAACATCTACAAGTCAAACAATAAAACATGATGATAAAGTTGATTTTAGTTTAGATGATCTTGGTGATTTAGATGACTCACATGATAGTCAAGAACAAGTGCCATATGAAGATAATAAAACATCAATATCAACAAAACATGATTTTACTATACCAGATGTATTACAACAAACAACAATTACTGGAAATACAACTTCAGGTGAATCAACAAGTGGTGCTGAAAATATTTTATCATCATCGAATCTTAAAGATCAACCAAATACTAAATCAACAGAAAAAGAACAATCATAAATTATTTTTTTTCATATATTTACGTTATTGCTATCCTATAGATTGCTAGAACTTTATTTCGTATATGGATGGAAGGTTTTTTTGTTTTTATACTAAAACAAGTCCGTCATGCTTTTCTGTCCTCTGCTTGTTGGAGTGAAAAAATTACTTTATTACTTCATTATTTTGTACCCTGATTTCAATAAATTACCGTTTGAATTGATAGAAAACTTTTATTTGAATCGATGGTATTATTTTAGGTGTACAAAAAGTAAAAGAATATATACATTAGAATCACTGTGAAAATCGGTGGCGAAGCCAAGATTTAGGACTAGGGAGGCTCAGCTCCTCTACAGATCTTTGAGCTTCCTCCCCCTAACTAGATTTTTGAAGAAAAAACATATCTTTCAAAAATCTCGCTAGGGGATGGCTGAACCTCCTCGTTCCGTCATTGATCAAAATATCCGCATTAAAATATGTTCAAGTCATGAACAAGGACTGAAATATTACTGCTGGTAAACTTACTTATTATTCTGATGATTTTTATTTTCATAATAACACTTCGATAGAATGCATACACTGCAACGTTTTTGTTATAAAGGCGAATGCAAATTAATGCGTATAATGAGTTCAATTAGTGAACGCGCAGCATGCTTTTTTTCTGTAGACAAGTCAATCCATCATCTTATTTCATTTTCATTAAATTTGAAGCGACATCTATAATAGTCATACAAAAAAAAGAAAATCAAAATTTGTTCATAAGAAGTTTTTAAAATATATTTCTATTTCTCTTGAATGAAATTTTATTTAAATTAATTCATCTAGAATATTGAAGAACTAAAATATTTTCTTTTCTCCAATAAAAATTCCTACTGATAATCCATATATTTCATCGTTACATTAATGTTGTTTTTTTTGTTTTTTGTACTCTAACATGTTGACTTTGATTTGAAATCGATCACATTTTTAAGTATGCCTTTTTTTGTTTCTGAGTCATCAAATATTTACGATCAACATATATATTGATATTTAAACAATTAAAACACATTGTTCGAATAATTATTAATTAATAGAAATAGAATTTTATGAATATTAATAAAAATTCATTTATTCATACTTCATGTAGAATCGTTATGTAATCATATGTTTATTTTTGTTTGTTCTTTAGATGGCTGATATTCTTCGACGAGTTGCTCTTTTAGCTATTAATCGTAAGTTGATTTCAAATTTCTAATTATTAATTAACTCGTATGAAAATAATTATATATGAAGTTCTTCCCTCTTAATCTATATGAAATTTCAAACTCATGCGAAAAAAATAAACAGTAAATATGAGTCTTAATTCGAATAATATTATTAAAAATATATGTGTCAGATGTATTGAATATTTCCTGTCGGACAATGCAGTATGTTAAACTTCTATTGATTTTAATTTAAAATATCAGAATATAAACTTTTGATAAATTATTATTTATGACTTAATAAATAGAATACATCTGTCCAATATTGTTTTCTTACTCTTACAACATTCTTCTCAAATTATGATTTTAGCTGCACAAGAAAATTCTTACATGTAATTTTAAGTCTCCATGAAATACTTTTTCAGTAGTGTTTGTACATATTGGATCATAATCAATATTTTGTATGAACTTCTACAACAAAAACAGCTGTTACAATATTCGAATCTTTCATTTAGCTTAATCATTTTACTAAATAATATTCGAGCATTAAATGAAGAGATAAAACAATTTTTCAGAAAAATTTAATGAAAATGAACTCGATTGAATCATATATGATATTTCTCTAATATATCTTTTTAAAAATGAGTAATCAATGAAGAAAATATCTCTATTCTCAAAATATGTTATATTATCTAATCGAAAGAATGTATAATAAAAATACTTTGTAAATATAAATATACAATCGATAGAATCTTTCAAATGCTTGTTTCGCACAAGATTGTTGTTTTCAATGATAAATATTTATTTCGATGAAATGAATACATTACTAAACAATACATTGGAAGTCATTTTCATTTAAGAGGGCCCCTCCCCTCAAAAAAGTTAGTTTTCGTCAGAATGTTCAAGATTGAGATAAATACATGGGGAGATAGCCTGTCATTTGCTCTTTCATAAACGATAAAAATTTTTCTTCGATACCTTCTTTTTTCCGAAAAACGTTCAAGATTTTTGACAACCCCTATTCGAAAAGCCAGCGGTTTTTGGAAAAATCCAAAAATCTTTTTCTTTTTTTCTCAAAGTGGTAGTCGAACGACGCATCACCAACAAAAGTCAATTATAATCCGATATAAAGTCAAATATTTTTTTTTTTGTTTGAAAGAGCATGTCAGAATGCAATGCCTCTGAGGACCCTTTTTTTGATAAAGCTTTCTTATTATTATATTGAAAAGCGACTTTATAATATAAGCATGATTTTTTTGAGGGATTTTTGAGTGATTGAACTTGTGAAGCCTGTTTTCCTTCATAAAGATACGAATAAAAAAAAAAAGAGCCCTCAGAGGCACTGCATCCTGACATGCTCTTTCATACGAAAAAACAATGAACCAAATTAGATGAACACCTATAGAGAATTTTTGGTGATGCGATAAGCTATTTTTCGACCCTTGTTTGGTTCGTATCTACTTAATACATCAGGATAGGAGGCTGAAAATTTTATCATAGACGTACTTTTACACCCTCAACATATCCCCAAAGTTTCATGCTATCTCGATGTTCCGGAGCTGAGATCGATTTTTGAGGGGGGGGGGGCCTTAAGAGAAAACTTTCGATACATTCAATAAGTATAAATTCCATAAAATGATTTCGAATATGTCAAGATTTTCATTTTCAAATAATCTGATACTAATATCACGAGTTTGTCATATATCAATCTTTGAATTATGAAATGAAAAATTTTACTTATTTCATTTAGGTACATCATATGGAAATATTCATATGCAAATTCGTACAGTATTTTCAAGTGCAGGTATTGGTATTGATAATTTTAAATTCTCTCGGGATCAACATACTGCACGTTATGCACCATCACTTGGTAAATATCTTGTTCAATATTTTTTATTTTATTTATTTATTTATTTTTCAATTTAGATGCTTTTAAAAAGCGTTTTGTTGATTCTATTACACAAACAAATTCTCAAATCTTTACAGAAGATTTACGTAATATGATTATGTCAGCTAATAATGATCAAGAAATTGATACTGTTATTCAAGCATTAAAAAAGTCTTGAGAAAAAAAATATATGAAATCTTTTCTTTTCTAAATTATCCTCTTTTATATTTAGATATAGTACAAATAAAGTTAAGTTTAGTGATTATCATTTTGGTTCACCAATTATGCGTTTACTTTATATACAAAATAAAACTGATTTAGCTTTACAATTATATATGGATGAAGTAAAACAAAAAGATTTTTATTTTTTTCCTTTTTGTTTTAATTTAAATATTCTAATAATAGAGTTTAAAAGATATATTCAATGATTCTGCATCAGCACTTGTTCTTATGAATAAATTAATTGAAGAAAAACGTTATGATGATGTAGTTAAAGTATTTGAATATGGTAGTAAACGTGGTTTTTCAACAACTAGTGGACGAACATTTCCATCGGACGTTGTTATGTTAGCTGTTGAAGGATTATATCGACAAGTAAAAAAAAAAAAATATTTTTATTTCAAAAAACTTCTAATAAAAATTTTTTTGTTCTCATAGAATACAAAAGAATCATTAACAAAAGCAAAAGAAATCATGTCTATAGTAAGAGAACGTGATGCTGATATAAATCCACGTACAGCTGCTATGATTGCATTATTATCTATTCAACAAGTAAAAACAATAGATTTTTTTAATAATTTGAAAATTAACATTTTCTTTTCTTTTTCTTTTTTTATTAGGGCGAACCATCGTTTGCCATGGAAATTCTAGGTGCTGTTCGAACACAAACTTATACTACTATAAAAAATCTTCGAGTATGTAAATAGTTATTTTTTTTTTGTAATAAATAAATCGAAATGATTAAAATTTGTGGTTTTTTTTTCAGGCAATTTGTTATGCAGATATGGGACGAGTTGAAGAAGCTATAAATGTTGTTCAATTACTTGCTGAACAATCGCCAGCCGATAGTGATCGTCGACGAGTTTTTCCACTTGTGGTTAGTAAAAATAGTCTTTCCTCGATAAACGCATAAATTCTCTATAATTTGATAATAGATAACTTTCCAGCTCTAATATTAACCATTGTAATTAGGTAGAACAATCTTCTGTATCATTCAAACAAAAATAGGGGATAATTTGAGATGTTCTAAGAAAATAATTGAAGGAGAAATAGGTGATTTCATGTGATTCTAATACCACAGAAGCAGCTTTTTTTTCCTCTTGCGTCTAACATTGAATAAGTGTATCATCCTGTTATTATCTACAATTAAAAAAAATTTAGAATCATCACTATTGAAAGAAATAGTAAAACAGAATTAAATTTAATAAAATAATACAATGAGTATTTGTCTTCAACTAAAGATAATGAAAATACATTCTCGTAGGAAGTATTGCTGAAGTGATGAACATTTATGGTTTTTTACAGTGCTTGACATAGTCCATTTAATCTAACATTGATTTGATTAAAAATGGCTTTAGTTATCAATCAAAGAATGGACTTTTCCAATTTTTTTCTTGTGAGAAATAACACGACGACATATATGTTCAGCGATGACAATCTATTAAAATTTCGAAAATAAGGATTTGGTCTTGTGTTCCGAGTAGAACATTCAATAGTACATCTTTTGCAAAAAAAATGATCAACGTTTTAACATATTCTTGAACAGAGTTACATGCAAAACTTTTGCCATATCAAATATAATCGAAAGTTTTTTTTTTTTTTATAGATGAGACATATTCGAATGGCTGCTGAAAAAAGTAATGATCAAAATCTTTTAACACGTTTTGAAGAATTATCAAAAATGGTTTTAAAAAATAATCGTTTATCAACAACTGATTTACCAGAATTTCTTGGTGAACCAATCAAGTATAATGATTCTTTTTTACGTGTCTTATAAAATATTAATTTATTTTTTTTGTTTAGTCGTCGTGGTTCTGCTAGACAGAATATACAACGAACTAATCGTGATAATTTTCAACGAACTAATCGTGATAATTTTCAACGAAATAGTGGAGAATTTGTATGTATTAAACAGATAGGAAATAAAAAAGAGAAATGTTTTCATTTTTTTAAAATTATTTTATAGCGTAATCGTGGAGGATTTAATCAAGAATCAGTTAATTTCAGACAAGGAAATACAGGTGGATTTAATCGACAATTTGGAGGATTTAATAGAGATAATCGATTTGGAAATACTAATTTTCAAAGACAAGATTATAATTTTGAACGACGGTATGTAAAATCTAAAATCCTATTACTTCTACTGAGTATTAACCTAAGATAAATATAGTTAATCCACATACACATACAAGTTTTATTATAAAAACAATACTTTACACTTATATCTATATTCATGAATGATACTTTGGATATGTTAATATTCGAAAAAAGCGTAAGAGAGAATAGAGGAAGAAAAAAAAATGCAAATGATATTATCAGCGAAAGAAAATTGTAACATAGAAAACAAAAAAAAAATCATAGTTTAGCTACAATTGATTTTTAATATTTCTTAGCGAATCATGTTTGAAATTGCTGAACCATCAGCAAGGTTTTTCTTGTTGATGTGATTTTGATTTTTATGTTATGAGAAATATTACGACTATTGAAAGGACTGCGGAAGGACGAGCAATAAAAATCCTTGATTTATCAAAATCAATAGAATAAAACCCTATCACAATAGTCTTGTATTTTTATCATTATTACACTTAAAAGTGTCTCAAGTGAATAATAAAAAACAAAAGCTCTCATCTAATTACATGATTAATATTCTTATTGAAGAAAAATAGAATAAAGATTTGTTTATAAAATTTTTTCTAAGTTCCTTTTTTTATTAACCAATTCTGTGATATGTATAGAAAATATTGAAAATGATAATTTCATTTATAATTTTTTTTTTTGTTTCTATGTAATATGTTTTTAGTTCACCAAGTTCCTTTACAGATGGTTTTCAACGTAATAATGAGAATGATCGATTTCCATCTCGTAATCGAAATTCATCATTTAATGAATATCCTCGTCAAGAAGGTCGTAATCAACAACAATACCAATCATTTTCACGTGTAAATCGTAATGATAGTGGATTATCATCAACACGACGTTTTGGAAATCAACCAACTACAACTGAAACAAAACAAAATACTGAAGATAATCTTAATTTAAAACAAACAAAACCAAAACGTCAATCAAATGAAGATACTCAAACACAAGAACAAAATTCATGGGAACGATCAACGCGTCATTGATCTGAAATAAAAGAAGAAAAAAAGCAAATATCTTTAGGCTACTTACACACATAGTATTCATTCTATCATATTTCTCGTTTTTCTTTTGTTTTTTTTTCGTTTGATATTTGTTATAAACAAGTGATGTGTGTTATTGATTGCATAAAAAAAGAAAATTACATAACAATATATAAATATATTGTTCATGGCAAAATAATTTAGCTTGTTTTTTCAGATTGAAAAAACAAATGTCAACGGTAGATACCCGGTTTCCTGCTCTGTTAGAGCAGTTTACCGGTGATTTGCAGAGTCCAAATGAAGATACGCGTCGTCGAGCAACAGATGAGCTCTACGAACGTATTGTTGCTCAATATGCTGATGTAAGTGAGATCTATATCAATTGTAAAGAAATATTCCTGAAGGGTTTTTTTTACTTGTGAAATTTTATTCTTGCTATCGAATTTAGATAGAATAATCTTAGATAATTGTAATAATACGAATAAAAACAAAAAAATTTTAATGATTTATCAGAAATATCTTCTTTTTTTTTTGAATATGAACCAATCTTATATTCGATTTGGAATTTCTGTAGGTATTAGCAGAAAGATAGAGTAATTAATGAGAAGCGTATTTTTTCATTCTGTTTAATATCATCATCCATATCTGAAGATGAAATATCAATTCTAAACTAATATTCTTATGGATTAATTTAGAAAAGATTCTTCTATGGCTAATAGATTATGAATGTTGTATATTATAGAATTTAATAGGGAAGAAAAACTTATTCTAACTCTAATTACTTATGATTCATATATATTCATGAGTTTAATATAAATCTCATTGAAGGATATCATCATTGGAAAACAGAGACTAATATTGAATGAATCGAAATTCATAAGTAATTTTTATTCTCTGTATAGGCTCCATCTGATGTTGTTACAAGTATTGCTGAACAAGTACAAGATTTTGTTCGAAAGAAAATGAGTAATCCAAATGATGTCAATGAAAATCGCGCAGCCCTTCTTGTTATTCGTATGTTTTAATTATTTTATTTTATTTTTTTCATCTATTTTTATTCATTAAACAATCTATCTATTTATATATATATATATATATTTAGTTTGTTTTATATGTGTTGGACAAAATTTCTACACTGAATTAAGTAATAAATTAGAACCAACATTACGCGGTTATAAACAAATGTCAGTTGATGCTAATTTATGTGAATTAGTTGTTAAATTAACATGTATTCTTGTCAAAGTAATTACATATTGAATTATTTATTTGTTTATTTATTTGTTTATTTTAATAATTTTTAACATAGGGTTGTGGTCGAATGAGTATTGATCAATTTTCACATGATGTTCCTAAAGCCATTGAACGTATATCACGTGATGAAAAACATGAAACAAGACGTTATAGTGGTATAACAATTTTAAAAGAAATTGCTCTTGTTGCTCCATCACGTTATTATCATTTAATAACGCCTGTTGAACAATTTTTTGAACAACTTTTCGCTACAATGATAGATTCAAAAGTATGTAGAAAAATGGTTTCATTTTATAAATTCTTTAATTTTTTTTTTTTTTTTAGCAATATATTCGTGAAGCATTTGCTGAAACAATGCATGCAACACTTATTGTTCTTATTGATCGTGAACGTGAAGAACAAAAAAATAATAGTAGTGAAATAACAACAGGAAAAGATTTACCAAGTAGCAATATAAGTTATGCTACTAATACAGAATCTAATACATTTATTAAAGCATATAATGTTTGTTTAAATTTTTTTTTTCTATAATATGATTTTATAATGTTAGATTTATTCTTTATTTATTATTTAGATGGCATATACAGAAGCAATGAAATGTTTAACAGTTGATACAACAAAAAATAAAAATACACAACGAGAAGATCGAATTCATGGAGGACTTTTATTACTTAATGAATTATTACGAGTATCAGATGTTAAATTTGAAGTAAGAAATTACTTTTTTTTGTTTCAATGAGAAATAATATATTCGTGAGTTTTTTTTTTCTTCTTAGAATATTTGTCAAGATTTAATTCATCCATATAGTGCACCAAAACCAAAACCAATTTCATATAAAGTAAGAAAGAAGAAATTATGTTAGAAATCAAAAATCTTTTATAAAAAAAAAAAAGAATTATAATATTGATTGATAACCATGATGATGAATACCAATGAATTCTTCAATATAAATACACTCAGAGATGAAATCAGTCTGAATTTTTGACGACTGGTACCAGTTCCATCTCTGTAGGCATAAGGTTTTTAACAGAAAAATTATAGATTCTGATTCGATTGAACTCGGGACCAATTCGATAGGCTCGATCTTCCAATAATCGGTGTCAGTTCTATCTCTACATTCACTTTTAAGTGTTTGAATTAAATGTAAATTCTTCAGAATTCCTACTACCTAATTGGTCATCATGTACGTATCTGTTTTACTTTTGCATATATTAAAAAAAAAAAGAAAGAAAGAATTATTTAATATTTTTTCTTTTGATTGATTAAAACTTATATGTATTATTGAAATCTTTCATTTTATTTCAATTTCATTTAAAATAAATTTTTATCTTAATTATTAAAAAATTTTAATTTGTTAGGATGTACATCGTGCTCGTGTTGCTTTAACATTTGAACGTACTGGTCCATTATCACCTATGGATATAATTGATAATCCTGAACAATCACAAATTCAAGTTCAATCATCTCTTATTCGTTCAATTATGCTTGAAAATTTTCTTAATATTTGTAATCAAGTATTTCAATATCGTCAACAACCAAAATCAATGATAGCTAATGTTTTAATACGTATATTACCACGTTTAGCATCATTAAATTATAAATTATTTTCTCATCAACCATATGTTGATGCAACAATGAATTTTATATTTGAACGTATTAATTCACGTGAATTAAAAGAACGTCAATTAGCATTTCATGCATTAGGTTTAATGATATTAGCTGATAAAACAAGTCGAATAAATGATAATGATTTATTAACAACAATAACAACACCAATAACAAAAGAAATGATAAAAATTTTAGATTGTTTAAAACAAACATTTATACCAATATCATCAACAAATACATCATTAACAGCAACACATTCACATCGACGTAGTAATTCAACACAATCATCAAATACATCATCACAACAACAACAACAACAATCATCATCATCATCATCATTATCAATAAATAATTTATTATCATGCCGATATTTATCACCTGATTCAAGTGTATTTGCATGTATAACAATGATTGGTGAAGCTGGACCAGATGCATCAAAATGTTTAGATACATTATTAGAATATTTATTACATTGTGGTTTAAATCATTCATTATTATTTTGTTTAGATAAATTATGTTCAATGCCATTAATACATACAGATACAAAACGTAAAATTCATCAAGGTTTATTAGAAAATCTTCGTTTAATTTTATGTAATCAATTATCATATAATACAAATTTAACAAATGAACAAAATGATATTATTATAATTGCATTACAAACATTAAGAATATTTGATTTTGAAGCACAAGCTATTGAACCATTTTTTATTGATATATTAAATACACGTTTTATTGAACATGATATTGTACGTATTAGAATTGAATCAATTATAACAATAACACATTTATTAAGAAAATTATTATCACCAACATCACCAACAACAATATCATCAAATACAACATCATCATTAATCGCAGCTAATAAATTACGTATTAAAATTGGTCATATAACACAAAGAATATTAACAATTGGTGTTACTGATTTAGATCCTGATGTACGTTATAATGTTTTTTTAACATTACAAGATGATTTTAAACAATTTTTAGCTAAATCAGAAGCATTAGAATTATTATTTTTTTCTGTACATGATGAATGTCATGAAATAAGAGAATTAGCATTAAGTCTTATTGGACGTTTATCAAATATAAATCCAGCTTATGTTTTACCACCATTAAGACATTTATTATTACAATTATTAACGGAATTAGAAATTGGTTGTTCATTAAGTGGAAAAGAACAAGCATCAAGATTATTGGGACAATTAATTGCAAATACACCAAGAATTGTTAGACCATATATGCAATCAATTACTCAAGTATGATTTTGATAATTATGGTTTTGTTTTTTTCCTTTGTTTCTAAAGATTAATTTGAACTATGAAAATTTATATTTAATGAAAAGTATTAAAAACGATAAGCTATGTTTTTGTTTTATATTTATTTATTTCTAATTTGTTTGATATTTATAGTTAATGAGAAAAGTAATGATAATCATCAATGTAGGTTTGTGTTAGAAAAAGAGATTGAATGTTTGAAATTTAAACAAAAAAAAAAAAAAAATTAAATTGTTTACTCAATATTTATTCGTATAATTTTTTTCTATTCAATGATATTACATACTGAAACAATCGGTAGATGTGCAACAAAATTTAGAATAGATTTGAGATTTGTTTTTAGACCAAATCTATTTATATTATTTTTTGTCCAGGACTAAATCCAAATCCTAAGGATTTGGTTCTAAATTCTAAAATCTGTTTTTTTTTTTATTATATCTCATCTCTAGTAAAGTAGATTGATGTTGACAGTATCTTATTTTATCAAATCGTAAGACTTTGAGTTTTGTTGCACTCCTAAGCAATTGATAAACTAGTAAGTGAGTTTTATCGGTATAATCAGCATTGAATAGCTATGACAATGGATGTGTATTGTTTTCGATTTTGATTCAATTTTCAAAAATTGATTTTCATGATTATTTCAACATATTTGAAATGATTCATTATTTGTTGAATTTCGACTCGATTGTAGTTGTTACTAACAAGTTATTGATGAGCCTTTAAGGATAAAATAAATAGATAGTTTTATCATTTATTCTTCATATGATTCAAATAGGACAAAAAAAAAACGCCAGTGATAGTTTGATACTTAAACTATCGGCATATGAGTCAGTTTCTTTGAATTGACCAAGCCCGATGCGTGTTCTTTACTAATGTTCTAATATCATTGAACTATTTTTTTTTGTCTTTAATATACGCCTATATATATATATATCTTGTGTATTCAATTTTGATTTTAATTAAAATTTTTTGTATGTCTTTCAATTACTATGCTATCGAACTGATGCTTTAAAGTAAATGCATCTAGTAATAAATTTTTTGTTTAACATTTACAAAACTTATATATTTTACATGAAAAGATAAAAATCAATCGATAATATATAAATTTCTGTTTTTTTTCTTTCTTTCTTAATTCTAGGCTCTACTACCATTAATAAAACAACATGAACAACATTCAAATGTTCTTATGGCTTTAGTACGAACAGTTGGTGAACAAGCTCAAGTTTGTGGTATTGATTTAGATCAACGTGTACATGATCTATTTCCTATATTAATAAATATGATGCAAGATACATCAAATTATCGTAAACGTGAAGTTGCATTATGGACAATAGGACAAATAGTTGAAAGTTGTTGTTATGTTATTGAACCATTACAAAAATATCCTATTTTACTTGATGTACTTTTACAATTTTTAAAATCACCTGAAGAAATTCCATTTCGTCGTGAAACAATACGTGTACTTGGATTTCTTGGTGCAATTGATCCATATGATGTACGTTCAACAAATGATCCATTACGTTCATTATCATTTGATGTAAATGATATAACATCAACACATCGTGTACGTGCACAACCAGATCCAATTGAAATATCTTCAAATGAACTTTTAGTTGCATCAGGTGCACAATCATTACATGATTTTTATACATCAATGGCAATATATGTTTGTTTACGTGTATTAAAAGATCCAAATAGTCCACAATTACATTTAAAATCTGTACAAGCTATATCAATTATACTTCAATGGCTTGGTAGTTCATGTACACAATATGTATCACTTGTTTTACCACGTTTATTATCTGTTGTACGTAATACAGATGATAGAAATTTAGTACCATATTTTCGACAAATAAATATAATAATAATATCAATAAAAAGTTCAATTATTCATTATGTTAATGATGTTGTACAATTAATACGTGATTATTGGGATACACATATAGATTTACAAATATTACTTATACAAACAATTGAATCATTAGCTGCTGCATTAGATAATGAATTTCGTCATTATATACATTTATTATTACCATTTGTTATGAAAACATTTCGTATTGATACAAATATATCAAATATGAATAATTTAACAATAAATCAAAATCAAGATAGACAATTAATATTATCACAAATGTTTTCAACATTAAATAAATTTGGTAAAACATTAAAACCACATTTTAATGTTGTTTTACCATCAATATTAGATATAGCATCAACAAATACATATCCATTAAAATTACGACAAGAAGCATTAGATACAATTGAACAATTAGCTGATAAAGTTTTTTTAAGTGATTATGTATCAGCTATATTACAAATATTATTAAGAATAATACGTAAAACAACACAATTACAAATGAAATGTTTAGATATAATATTAATTATAGCACAACAAATGGGTAAACATTTTCTTGTATTTCATTCACTTGTATCAAAAACAATGGATGATATGAAATTACAACATTCAAAATATGAATTATATATATCAAAATTAAAAGATTCATCATTTGTTGATGTACAAACAGAAACAATAACAAATATAAATCAATTATCAAATCAAACAATAAATGAATCAACAAGAAGAAATGATGATAAAGTTTTATATACAATACGTACAGAACAATTAAGACAACATTGGTCACAAGCTATGCAAAGAAATGCAAAAGATTTACCAATGTGGTTAAATAAATTTCAACAACTTGTTTTAGAACAATCACCTGTTTATCCATTACGTGCAATGGGTACTTGTTTAGCACAAGTATCACCATCAATACCACGTGATTTATTTAATGCATCATTTATATCATGTTGGAGTGAATTAAATTCACATGATAGACAAAGTTTAACAAATGCATTAACATATGTTTTATCTGTATCGGATAAACCTGATGTTATACAAACAATATTAAATTTAGCTGAATTTCGTAATCATTGTGATTTAAAATTAAAATTAGAACGACAACAAAAAACAAATAAACGTAATGAAGATATTAATTTAAATGATACAAATGATGATATACATAATGATAAAGATAAAAATAAAAAAAAAGATATTAATTATGATAATAATAATGATGATGATATTGAACGTTCATTAATAAATATACATTTATTAAGTGAAAAAGCATTTAGTGTACGTGCATATGCTAAAGCATTAAGATATAAAGAAGAAGAATTTCAACGACAACATGATACAGCATCAATAAATCAAGCATCAATAACATCTGATATTGTTGAATCATTAATTAGTATAAATCATGAATTACAACAATCTGAAGCTGCATATGGTGCATTACAATATGCTAAAAATAATAATATTAAAATAAAAGGTCTTTGGTATGAAAAATTAAATCAATGGGAACGTGCATTAAGAAATTATGAATTTCTTAAAACAAATGATCCATCAAATATGGATATACATTTAGGACGTATGAGATGTATGCAAGCACTTGGTTCATGGTCAGAATTAAAAGATTTAGCAACTCATATATGGGATATAACAGAAACACTACGTGATGAACAACCACTAGCACTGTTACCATTTACATCAAGTTTAGTTGATAGAAATTCTCCATCAACATTATTATTAAATTTTAATCAAGGTACTATTAATGGACGTGAATTAAAAAAAACTTTACAACAAAAAATTGCACCTATGGCAACACGTGCTGCATGGAGTCTTGGTGATATGGCTGATATGGAAAAATATTATATTCATATACCAGATACAAAATTTGAAGGTGCTTATTATCGTGCTGTTGATGCAATTAGAAATGATAATTATAGACAAGCACAAGATTCAATTGATTTAGCAAGAGAATTATTAGATGTTGAATTAACAACATTAGCTAATGAAAGTTATAATCGAGCTTATTCAGGTAATTAAATAGGATTTTCTTTTTTGGTTTTCTTTATATTATATAAACATAAATATTCTATTTAGCTATGATTAATGCTCAACTTTTATCTGAATTAGAAGAAGTATGGTATTATAAAATATTACCAGAACGCCGTCAATCTATATGTGAAATTTGGCAAAAACGTATGCAAGGCAATCAACCAATTATTGATGATTATCATCGTTTATTATTAACACATTCACTTTGTTTACCAATGGCACAAGATCTTCAATCATGGATTAAATTAGCTAATCTATGTCGTAAATCAAATCGTTTAACAATGGCTGATTTTATATTTAAAGAATTAACACATACAGTTTTAACTGATCAAACAAATCTTAATCGTGATGTATCAATTATAAATCAAAATACCTATCAATCACAAATATCACATTTTAATCTTCAAACAACAACAACACCAGCTTTTTCATTACAATCTCAACAAACATATTATCATCCATCATTAATTGAACAACAATTAGTTAAATATGAAAAAGCTAAATATGATTGGCATTGTTTAGGTGCAACACGTGATCGTCTGTTACTTGAAAGACTAAATCGAAAAGTTTTAAATAATGAAAATACTCCACAAAATGAACCTAGTCATAATATATCAACAATATCATCATCATCATCATCAACATCAACAGTAACAAATATTGAAAATACAAATGTTAAAATTGAACAAAATCGTCTAGAACAATTAAAATTAATTGAAGATATGAAAGAAATGGTTATTAAAACATGTTTACCAGCATTAGATCATATTAGAAAACAAACAGCAACAACAACTGGTAATGTACAACAACAAACTATGATGGCGACAAGTGGTGGTGCAACACCAGCTGGATCAGGAACTACATTAGCTGGAACAACTCAAAATGTTAATGCAATATCACAATTATCTGTAAGATTTTATTTAAACGGATTATTTTTTGCTTTTTATATGAGTAATAACAATCTCCGTAATGTACGTGACGTGTTTTATCACTCACGTGCTAAACAAGGAAAAATATTAGTAGATGAATTTGTATTAAAAACGAATTCTTTTAGTAAAACAATATTACTAATCTGTTCTCAAGTATAACTTTTTATATGAATTAGCAGTTTGAAAAGTAAGCATCTAGATCTCATTATTTGCCGAGTATTCGAACCAATTGCAAGATACTAGACTAACCGTGAATATTTAAAAGAAAAATAAAATCTCAAAATTAGACAACAGTAACAATGTTTAATGTGACATCTCGTCGTTTTTGTATTAACAGCTAGTAACATCAAATCATATCAACACGTGTTAATTAATCTCTGATTAATTAATTGTTGGAAAGATGATAAAGATCTTTTTTTTGCAACTGAATACTCATACGTTATAAGAACTAAAAGAAACTTAGAAACCTCCTAATAATGAGCATTTCCGTAAAACGTAAACATGTTTGACTTATCCTGATGATGTCTACATTACACATGTTTGATTTCATTCAAAAATAAAATTCATAATTCTTTTCTTTTTTCTTTTCAATTTCATTAGGCACTCTCTGTAGCAACTACAAATGCGACACCACCACTGAATTCAACAGCATTTTCTCTAATGACATCAACAAGTTTATCAACACCATCTCAAACAATTAATCAACGTGAACAACGTCTTCGTCAATTAATATCAAAATGTTATTTACGAATAGGCACATGGCAACATGAACTATTCGGTATGACAGATGATATTATATTAACTGAAATAATGAAAAATTATGAACATGCTTGGACATACGATGATTCAAATTATAAAGCATGGAATGCTTATGCTGTACTTAATTATGATGCTGTTAGTTATTTTAAACAACGTATACAAGATTTATCACGTAATAGTCAGCAACAACAACAACAACAACAACAGCAGCAGCAACAGCAACAAACTCCAACATCTCCATCAACACTTACTGTTGAGTCTTTAGCATCACCACCTCGACAGCAACAACCACAACAAATGCCACTAACTCCACCACCAATACTACAACAACCACAACAACCACAACAACAACAACAACAACAACAACAACAACAACAACAACAACAACAACAACAACAACAACAAAATCTTGATCCATCAAATGATGCTTATCGAATGTTAACAGCAAAAATGATACATTGTACAATACCAGCTGTAAAAGGTTTATTTAAATCTATTGTATTATCAAAAGCAAAACATTGTTTACAAAATACACTTCGTTTATTAACACTTTGGTTTGAATATGGACAATATCGTGAAGTATATGAAGCAATTACTGAAGGTAATCGAACAGTACCTGTTGAAGTTTGGTTACATGTATTACCACAATTAATTGCACGTATTGATTCTCCACGGCCATTAGTTCATCAACTAATACGTCATTTACTTATTGATGTTGGTCGACAACATCCACAAGCATTAATTTATCCATTAGTTGTTGCATCAAAATCTGTTGTTCGTGAACGTGAAGTTGCAGCTAATCGTGTATTAAATAATATGAGAGAACATAGTCATACACTTGTACAACAAGCATTAGTTGTTAGTGAAGAATTAATTCGAATATCTATATTATGGCATGAAAAATGGCATGAAGGTTTAGAAGAAGCATCAAGACAATATTTTGGAGATAGAAGTATACCAGGTATATATTTTTTGTTTTTAGTCTATTTTTTATAAAATACGAGATCTAAAACAACAACTACATATCATTTTTCATATTTAAATCTCGAAGAGATTGTGCTAACAGCGCTTTTATGCATGTGCATATCTTTATTAAAAGAAAAATATCTGAAAATTAGATTTGAACTAATCATTTATTTCATCTAAAATAATAATCAATTGCATAGAGTTTTCAAAAAATGATTTTTCATACACAAGAAGTACAGTAAAATGGATTTTCATGGTTAAATTTTTATTTGTGTACATACAGTAGATCAAGGTATAATAGAAAAGATTTTTCATTGATCTGTAAAAGTATATAAAAAAATTCAATTATACAAATGAACTTGTTTTATTTTCTTAAGTTTCAATAAAAACTACTCTATGATTATTTCTTCTTCTTTTTTTTTAATAAGGTATGATTGAAACATTAGAACCATTACATGCAACAATTGAACGTGGAAGTACTACTCTTAATGAACGTACATTTCTTGATTCATATAGTAATGATTTAACACAAGCTCATGAATGTATTCGTCGTTTTCAACGAACAAAAGATCAACGTGAATTACATCAAGCATGGGATCTTTATCATCAAGTATTTAAACGTATTCATGCTCAATTACCAAATATAACATCTCTTGAATTAGATTATGTTTCACCACGTAAGAAAATGTTTTTAACAAATCTGCTACAATAAGTATTCTTCTAAGTATTTCCCTCATATTCTGGTTGACATTTATAACCAAATCTTAATCTCATTTAAAAAGAACAAGATTCATGATATAATGTTCTACAAGAATATATCATAAGTTTTGCTAGAGAATATTAATCAAAAAAATTAGATAAATAATACAATGAGACTAAAACTTGTCCAAAATTTATTCTGAACTAACGAAAAAAAAAAAAAACAAAAATTGTTAAATTTTTTTATTTATAGGTTTAGCAACACATTGTCGTGACTTAGAATTAGCTGTACCAGGTACATATGAACCACATAAACCACCAATAACAATTCGAAATGTTCAATCTCATATAACAGTTATAACATCAAAACAACGACCAAGGAAAATTAGTATAACAGGTTCCGATGGATTTGAATATGTATTTTTACTTAAAGGACATGAAGATTTACGACAAGATGAACGTGTTATGCAATTATTTGGTTTAGTTAATGAATTTTTATCAGCTAATGATGAAACACGTCGTCGAAATTTTATTATTCAACGTTATCCGGTTATACCATTAGCACCAAATAATGGTTTACTTGGTTGGGTTGCTCAGTGTGATACATTTCATGCATTAATAAAAGAACATCGTGAAAAAGCACGTATTATGCTTAATGCTGAACATCGTTATATGCAAGGAAAAGCTCCACATTATGATCAATTACCATTAATAAATAAAGTTGAAGTATTTGAATATGCATTAAATTTATTAGAAGGTGATGATTTAGCAAAAATTTTATGGCATAAAAGTTCAAGTGCAGAAATATGGTTAGATAGGCGATCAAATTATACAAGATCATTAGCTGTTATGTCTATGGTAAGAAAGTTTTTGGTTGTTTTTTTTTGAAATTTAAAATTATATAATTTTTTTGTTTTTAGGTTGGTTATATATTAGGTTTAGGTGATCGTCATCCATCAAATTTAATGCTTGATCGTGCAAGTGGAAAAGTTGTTCATATAGATTTTGGTGATTGTTTTGAAGTTGCTATGACAAGAGAAAAATTTCCTGAAAAAATTCCATTTCGTTTAACACGTATGTTACGTAAAGCAATGGAAGTTACAGGAATTGATGGTACATTTCGTATGACATGTGAACATGTTATGGATGTATTAAGAAAAAATCGTGATAGTCTTATGGCTGTTTTAGAAGCATTTGTTCATGATCCATTACTTAATTGGCGTTTATTAGAAAATAATACTAATGAACAAAATGCTGCTATATCAACAATAAGTAATCGTTCACCACAAACAGGTCAACAACAACAATCACATTATCAACCACATTTATCAACTGTTAATGAAGAAGATACTGAACATGAAAGTACACTTGGTGGTACAACACAACAACAACAACAACAACAACAAAATGTTCAAAATGTTGTTACACAACCTGGTAGAACAATACGAGCTGTAGAAATTATGACTCGCGTACGAGAAAAATTAACTGGAAGTGATTTTCGTCGTGAACAACCTGTTGATATTCCAACACAAGTTGAATTACTTATTAAACAAGCAACCAGTCATGAAAATCTTTGCCAGTATGTTTTCTTTCTTTTTTCTTTTTCTTTTTTTTATTCATTTATTTTATTTGTTTTTCTTTTTCTTTTTTTAGATCTTATATTGGTTGGTGCCCATTTTGGTAAATAATAATATGTATTATTATTATTATTATTACTTTCTTTTCCAGTGAGCTATTGATGTTGTGTGCGATTTTATTTGTGTATATATTTTTCTTTTTTTTTTGCTATATAAGAATAAAGAAAATCTTTAAATCGATTTATTTGATTTGAATTTATTTTGCGTTTGATTTATTGTTTTTTATCAAGGCTCTGTAATGTTTTTCTTTTGGGCAATTAAAAAAAAAAAAAGAATCGATGATGAAAGAGTAGTGTACTTTTTTTTTTTTATTTTGTATTTTTTTACCAATGCATAAAGACAAGCAAAAGATTGACGCACATACATAGTGTTTTTTTTCTTTTAGCGTTTATTTTGTCGAGTGTCTGTGATTGAATGAAGCAAAAGGAAAAATAAATACTAATAGCCAATATGTACAAACGATTTGAGTGAACGATAGTAAAAAAAAATCCTTAAGAACCACTTTTAAACAGTAAAATTGATAGTGGACCTTTTGTTAAATAAATAAATCCATTCATTTCATGTGTTACATATGAACTAAATTGTTTTCCAACAATACAATGCCAACATGATGAAAATGTTTTATCAGCTGTTCGTTTAAGAAAACCAGCTAATTCACGTTGACTACTTAAATCATATTTTTGAAATGCTAAACGAACTAATTCAATCATTTCTTGTTCATATGCAGCTGATAAATCAGTTGATTTTACTATTAAATCATCATCATAAATATCACGTTTTATTCTTTGTTGTCCATATGTCGGATTATTATTATTATTTGTGCCAGATCTTGTTGTTGAATTATAAATTGATGAATGTGATCGATATAATTGATTTTGTTCATTTAGTAGATCATCATATGAATGTGCTCGTGCATTTCCAACTGAATTATTTGTACGAAATATATCATTGTCACCAGTACATGAACGATAAGATGTTGATTGATATTTATTTAAATTGCCATCATTTGATGTTGTATTATAACTACTTGTATATCTATTTGTTGGTGTAACTGTACGTACAGGAATTGATGTTAAAGGTGAAGCAGAACTTGGATATGTTGTATTAATACGTCTTGAAGATATACTACCATCGTTCATTGTCTGATAGGAATTATATTTATTTTGATTTGAAGGTTGATCTTGATAATATGTCGATCCTGCTCCGAATGTTGATGTTCGAATAGGTGAAGATGATGAATAGGTAGATGTGTACATATCAGAATGAGACGTTTTGTTGCCTATTTTATATATATATATATATATGTTCTCCTTTTCTTTCTTCGTGTTCTTTTACTTCTTCTCTCTCTACTTAATTTGCGTATAAAAAAACAAGAAAAAAATGAAGCGCGTTTGTTGCGGTTGTCGGTCGAACTCAATTGAGATTAAAAAATTTCAAATATTCGACATAAGTTTAATTGCATATTTTCAATGAATTTAATGTGTTTTTATATCTAGTTCTAGGTCGAGTATATTAAAATTACAATGATAATAAATATATGAACGAGACGAGAAAAAAGAAGGAATGTAATGGTGTCAATGAAATAGTCTCTTTTTTTTTCTCTTCTTCGAGGCAGTCAAGGAACCGAGACAACAAGGAGAAAAAGAGAATCTCCTTTTTTCTTTCTCATTCTGTTTCTCAGTTGACAGTTGAAGAAGAAGAAGAAGAAGAAAAAAAAATTACTAAATATAAAAAACTTTTTTTTTTTTACAAACACGAACTGAGACATTATAAGACCTTGTCTTACTCAATTTATGAGTATATGATACAAATATAAGATTTGAGTATAATATGCATGCTCACTCTTACTTACGCTTGAGTATGTGCTTGACTAATATAAAATCTCTGTTCTTTTTTGTACAAAAACAATCCTCTTATACATGTAAATTAAATTGAAACACTGAAAAAGAACAATAGTTCAATGGTGCATATGTATTACTTTATTATTCGACGTACAGGTCTACCTTTCACATCTGTTTATCCATAATGACAATCACCTGGATATGTTTATGTACATATGCACGAGAACAAAGCCAATAAAAAAGAATAGGAAAGAGTATCTTAATTATTATTAGTGAGTCCTACGAACATATGTTACCCTACTGGTAACCATATGCATATGGTATATAATTGTTATATATCAAGGATATACTATCTTCTATTATCAATGTCAATCAAATAATTCTCTAAAATTAAAATATATTATTTTATTGATACAAAAACTATGATAAATTTTATTTAAATTTCATTTATCTTTCAATTTTCTATTGAAATATATCGTATATTTATTTATTTATTTCTCAAAGTCATCTTATGATAATTATCATGCAAGTCTTCATAAATCATCACATCTGTCGCAAACTATTGAATGAGCACCATCTTTTTTTTTATTCTCTTCTCTCAGTTCAAATTCTTATGTAATATTAGAAAAAGCAAACGAGAACGAAAAAAGAAAAAAAAAAAGGAAAAAAGATTAAAAGAGAACTTCATTCATTTGCATGTCATTTTCACATTGGATTATAATTGTACAGAATAACCTTGACACAATGTATCGAGATTTTAAAAAAAAAATACGTTTATGTATATATATATATGTATACATAAGTATTACACGCCTACATTCTATTTGACAAGTGTACCTGCATACACTGTAAAGTGTTGTATTACACGAGCACTGGTCGCATCCATCGACATATATACAAGTGTCGATTGTCAATATATTGTATGACGTTAATCCAATGAAATAGACATATGTAAACTGTTTGATCATATTCCTCGTTTCAAGTATCTCACTATAATTATAAGATTTGAAAAAAAAAGAAATATTAGTTTGTAAATGTAAATATTACTGCTATCTAAGCTTTAATAAGACTTCTTGTTTCAATAGAATGTAATATACTGTTAAGAAGAAATAGTATTAAGTATGAAAAAAATATGTGTATGAAACTTATAAGACTTATAAAATTCATTTAACCTTTTGATAATAATGAAAATTCAATAAAAAAAAAAAGAATCCATCAGATATTTTTATATTTAATGAATTAATTATTTTGATGTGAAAATTTTTCAATATTCAAAAACAAAACAAAGAAACTATTCTTCGATTCATAAAACATGAAGAGAATTTCTTATTTTATTGTAAATTCATTTTCATTCATTACAATGATTATCTATCATTAAAAAAAAAAAGACCACAAATAACTACGACCGACAAAATCAATTGTTAGAATACTATAATCAATAGTAGAATAGAGAATAAATCCAAATGTTTCATGGACATAATTCCATTTGATTGATGTTGTATTATGTCTTCCATCATAATAATATATATCATTCTTCTTTTGGGAAGCGAACATTTGTTCGTACGGACAGTTGCATGTTATACAAACTATTGCAAGAATTCTCAATAAAAAACCGAAATATAATGATACAATCAATTAGTTTCTTGTAAGAGAGTATGGCCATCATCATAAATTGATTGATATTGGTCAAATTGATGATTCAAATATAATAACAAGTTCTATTCAATGAAATATATGGATATTATATAAGTTGTACAGACTAATAGAATGACCTCAGAAAAAGTAATTATGTCAGTTACGATATTAAAAGCTTCGATTGATATACAACGACTATTCATATATATATATATATAGTTGATCGAAATATTCTTTGAAAATGTGAATAGTCTAAAAAAAATATGCATGGCATGAACGATTAGAGGTTGATCTTTAGATCAAGAAAAGACCCACAATCTTTGCGAGCAAATGTTCTAAAATCTATTCTTATCTATTTTAAAAAGAAAATTTTCAAAAATAAATCTTTCATAATCCATGAAACATTTTTCATTAAAACAAGTATATCTATGGTAATAATTATTTAAACTATTGACAATTACATCGATCAGATGTATGATTACAATACAATACATCATGTCTTTCAATCAACAATATATATTCATCCTTTTCATTTCTCATAGAAGTAAATGTACCAATTGATCCAAGTATAAAATTTATAAGATATTATCACCCTATTACCAAAACTAAAAATAGCTAATGGTAATTTACATATCGATTCTATGCTGTTTAATTGTAATATAATCTTATCATGTAGTGCAAAACGAGATGTATTTATTTAGAGTTATGTCTCGATAGAAATAATCCATAAGTTCATACACCTGACTTATGTAATAACAATAGAATCCTACGGGAATGATTTTTTCTCGTTCTGTTTTGCTCGGAGGATCAGGAACAGAAATGATGTTAAAAAATGAGCATTTTCAAAAATTGCTTTGTTTTATTTATATACTCTCCAAATTTTGCTCTTTCAGATAAAAAAATGTCGAAGTTAATCCGATGTTACATTGATAGATTTGTGATAATGACATTCTTTCAAAAAATTTTTCATTATTTATTATAATTCAGATTATCTCACCATATATCATTATTATCATTATTATCATTTTCTCTTGAATGTTTTCATTTTTTCATCATTGTTGTTGTGGATATAATAGGTTTACTTTTCTCTCTTTTCAATTGTTCAATTAACAAAAGAAATTATTCTCTTCAATTTCGATGTACAAATAACAATTGATTCATTTTACTAAAATATATCTCTAATAATGATATTATTTTTAATTTAAGGCCATCTCACGTTGTGCAAAGTGCAATGTTGATAGAATCTAGTATACGATAACGAGAGTTTTTCTCACACGCAACAAAAAAAAAAAAAGAAATAAATTGTAATAGAAATTCTGATAGCATTACGGTAACAGAACAACAAACCTTTTACGGGAATCAGGAACGGAAAACGGGAATCGAGAAAAATCCTTTTCGCAGCAGAGCACTAAAATAACAGTCAACAATAAGAAAATAAAAAGTTTTTAAGTTTTTTTTGGGGACTAAGAAATTTTAATTAAATACTATTCATTATAATGAAAAAAATTTTTTTTTAATATTCAATTTAAAATACATATACAGGATGGTCCAAAAGTCACGCACCCGAAAAGAAATTGAATATCTCCATAACGGCTCTAGCAAACTGGCTGATTTTTTTACCACGAGTAAACACATATTTACACTCCATATCCATAAAGACAAGGCGAGAGTGAACCCTCTTTTTAAGTGTCACTATTAACTTTAACCAAAAAATTTTAATTTTTCACAGATGAGAAAAAAACAATGTAATGGATGGCGCAAAAGTCACTTTACCGAAAAAAAGTTGAATATCTCCATTACGGCTCGAGCAAACTAGCTGATTTTTTTATCAATGCTAGAGGCACGTACAATATTTATATCCATAAAGACATGCCTAGAGAGATTCTTTGTTAAGTATGTTGTTTTTTTTCCATCTGTAAAAAAAAGTAAAATTTTTTTGTTGCGATTAATAGTGATACTTAACAAAGGACTTCTCTAGGCATGTCTTTCTGGATATAAAGCTTGAACATGCCTCTAGCATTTATAAAAAAATCAGCTAGTTTGCTCGAGCCATAATAGAGATATTCAATTTTTTTTCGGGTGCGTGACTTTTGGTCCACCCTGTATTATTATTCGATAGTTAATTAAACACAGATATTTTGCGTTTTATACGTAACAAGAGAAATACAAAGTGCACAGTAACATCTCAGTGTTAAAAGAAGTTATATTTCGTAATGGACTATCTGATAACAAGTACATATGAATATGCGTATTGAAGAGTCCAATAAACAATTTCATCTCATAAACAACTAATAAAAAGTTACTTGATAATTTTTTTCTTTTAACAAATATGTTTATAGAAGAATAAATTGAAAAAAACTTACATATAAGAGAAACTCGAAGAAAGTTGATTTCATTATTATAAATCAAAGGTAACACAGTTGAATCATGGTGATTTTATTTCTTGTCACTAGTTACAAGTGCTATTGTGTTCCAATCGTAATTGATTTTATCTAAGTAACAGTAGCGGAACCCAGATTTTGAGCTAGAAGATCTCAGCTACTCCTGATCCTATCGCTGCAAACCGATAGAAGATCATCTCAGTATTCAATTCTCAGAAAATTCTTTTTAGAAATCAATCAAATAATAAACATTCAATTGGATATTAATGCCATGACTCACAGAACATATGTTTTTTGATAGCCATTATACCAACAACATATTTTTTCAGACACTATCGCCATCTATATTCACATAACAAATGAAACTGTTTCGTTCAATTTATTTATTTTTTATTTTAAACAAATCAATGTCTATCAGAAATAAATTTCAATGAATGATTCATTTATGTTAAAAATGCCTTTTTTTCTTAATCTGATTCGTAGATCGTTTGGAAAATAAAGACTATACACTAAACCTATCCAAATGCATAGATATTAATTATTAGAAATTTTCTCTCATCGAATAACAAACAGATATGATAAGAAAAAAACAAAAAAACAAATCAATGCAAATATGTATATATATATGTTTTTTTTTCTAGATCAAATGGATTCATCTCCATCAAAAAAACTTCCTCATCATCGTTTAAATTCTTATAAATATCATGGAAAAGATTCTGATGAACTTCGACGTCGACGAAATCAATATAATGTTTCACTTCGAAAAGTATTTAGTTTTTTGTTAAATATAAAATAGTAAAACAAAAATTCGTTTCTTTTCTTTTTCTTTTTTCTTAAGAATAAACGTGAGGAACAAATACAAGTCAAACGTAATTTTCGTGCTGATGATAGTATGTCCGATAAATCTGATGATGATCATGAACAAAATCAAATTTTTAATCTTGATGATCTTGCTATAAAAGCTAAAAGTGAAGATCCAACAATACGTTTTGAAGCTATACGTTCAGCACGAAAACTTTTATCTATTGATCGTAATCCACCAATTGATGAATTAATTAGATTTAATTTTTTACCTATATTTGTTCATTATTTAACATATGATCAACATCCTGATTTACAATTTGAAGCTGCATGGGCATTAACAAATATAGCATCAGGTAATTCACATCAAACACAAGCTGTTGCTGATGCAAATGCATTACCATATTTATTACGTCTTTTACATTCACCACATCCAAATGTATGTGAACAAGCTGTTTGGGCCTTGGGAAATCTTATTGGTAATATAGCACGAAGAAAAAATTTCTTGTTAGTTTGTTATATATGTATATATTTTTTTTTTTCATATTTCAAATAGGTGATGGTCCAACATTACGTGATTATGCTATAGAATTAGGTGTTATAAAACCATTAGTTGAATTTATTCAAAAAGATATTCCTGTTACATTTCTTCGAAACGTAACATGGGTTATTGTTAATCTTTGTCGTCATAAAGAACCACCATTATCTTTAATTGCTGTACAAGAAATTTTACCAGCTTTAAATTATTTAATTGCATATACAGATATAACTGTATGTATGAAAGATATATTTTTCTTTTTAACAATAAAAATATGTTTCTTTTTTGTTTTGTTTTTGATAGATTCTTGTAGATTGTACATGGGCATTAGCTTATCTACTTGATTGTGGAAATAATATGATACAAGTAAATAATTACAAAAAAAAAAACACAGAAATTTTATTATGATGAAATTGTTTTTAGATTATTATTGATTCAGGTGTGATACCACAAATTATTAAATTATTAAATCATAATGAATTAAAAATTGTTACAGCTGGTAAGAGTTATGATTTTTTTTTTTAAATTTAAATTTTTATTTATAATTTTAGCATTGAGAGCAATTGGAAATGTTGTTACAGGTACTGATGAACAAACACAATTCGTTCTTAATCATGGAGCACTTGCTTATTTTCCCAAATTACTCAAACATCAAAAAGATAAACTTAATAAAGTATGATTTATAATAATTAATTTTGTTTTTAATAATGAAATGCAAAAAGAAATTTTGCAAGATAATATAAATCTGACGTGAGGTGTAAGTGATAATGATTTCATCATGTCTTGAAATTATGATGTTGTTGTCTCTTACATTTCTGATTTTCTAGACATGAGATAATAATCTTATAAACATTAACCAAAGACAAAGAAAATAAATTCAAATCAAAAACTATTATTAGAATGTTTAATAATCTCATATTTTCTGAGTTGGTCAAGAATTATATACAATGGCGATAATAGATCAAGGTTTTTTCTAATGATACATGCTGCTTTTTTTCATTATATCCCTAGATGTATATCTATATGAAGAACTGACATTGCACTATTATTGTCTATTTTACTGATGATGGACATTAACCTATTGCATATCTCTATTTGTAATTATCACAGGCGCACACACAGTATATAAACTGATGCACAAGAGATGAGTGCAACAGAGGGAGACAATAGGAAAGAAAGAGGAAATGAAGCCATCAGTAAGAGAATTATATCAGTATCAATATATTAGATATCTATACTTCGTTACAGAAGCAAACGATTAGAGGATAATTGTTTTGAGTTCATCAAGTTTATTGCAACCAGATCTATCTTTTGATAATATATCCAAGGATGTCTCAAGATTACCAAGATTACAGCAGTGAGAATATCGATTCTTGTTGTGTAGACTGATAAATGAAGAAAATTGTTCAATTTCGCTGGGAAAAAAAACAAGACATTTTCCAAGATTGGGGGAGTTATTCCTAGAGTGCGGCAAATTCAAAAAGTACCCGGAATCAGTATTTCATATTTTGTACTTAAACAAAACAATCTTGTAAATATGAGTCATTCTGGTATCTATTGTACCATTTTTTTGGAAAAGTGATCGGAAAAAACAGTAAACGACTGCATTTAAAAGTGTCATCATCTGATAGAGAATATTTTGAAGTATAAGAAAAAGTCATTTTACACATTAACAGTCTTTTATTTTATCTGATTTAGAGACTGAAAGTTTCCTAGGAACGTATTATAGGGTCTGTTGTCTTATTTGAATGAAAACTAGTGACATTCGGAAATTACCATAATCCTACAAGTTTCAGAAGATTTTCTTTCGAGTCGTGTATCCAGAAGGAGCACAATAATGATCAGTTTGAGACAATTTCTTTTTTAGATTTTTAGTCAGGGAGAAGAGTAGTACTAACTAGGGAATAGAACACATCGTTATATTTTTCGAATAACTTTGTTCAGAAATGAGGTAGAATCTTGATATTTGCAATATAAGTTGTACGTATCAATTAATATTTGTGGTTAAAAAAAAATCAGCTCTTTATTCTTTGTAGTTTGATCAAACATGGGTGGGATAAACAGGAAAAAAAGGCAAATTTTTGTATTTTTCAATTCTTATGCTTAGAAACAAGCTAGGGCCTTGATATTTACAACACAAGTTGTGTTTACCAGTTGACATTTCTGGTAAAAAAATTAGCCCTTAATTTCTTGTAGTTTGATCAGAAGATAGGCAACAGAGGATGGCGCATTTGACTGTATTTCTTTAATAACTTTCTTCAGAAATGAGTTAGAGCCTTGATGTTTACAACATAAGTTGTACTCGCCAATTGACGCTTGTGTTAATAAAAATCAGCTCTTAACTCCTTGCAGTTTGATCAGAGGATAGGCAAAAGGGGGTGGAACAAATTGTCTGTCACATGCCAATTGACACCACTAAGATGTAAATTATTCAAAAACAAAAAACATTAATAAGTTTTGATTTTCACCAAACGATAGTGCTTAAATTGATGAATCTTTTTATGGAAAAAGATTTGGCTTAAAGTCTTTGTTGGATTCACACTAAGCTTAAAATGGGATGGGACACTTTTTTCCTGTTTGCAGGAACCATTGATAGAATGTCAAATTTCTGTGAAATGACAATAGCTGGAGAGAAAATAAGATTATGAATAGATAGAGCATTCAAAAATAATATAAGAAAATCAATCAAACATTATTTACATTTTTTGTTTCAAGTTAAAAAAAAGACCGAAAGAAAAACATCCAATCTGGAACCATCATAAAAATACACAAAAAAGTAGTTTATTTTCAATATTTTTCGTAAACGATAAAAGATAGAAACCTGATTTTAGCAGCATAAATAGAGCATGACTGACAGATATTTTGGTATTAATTTCGAGCAATTTGACTGAACAGAAACTGAGAAATAAACTAGGCCATTTTTGTACTGAAATCTTTAATTTCAATAATGAATAAATGAAGATTTCTCGACATAGATTTAAGAATTTTTGATGATTTAACAGTTTCAATTTTTTTCTTTTGGAAACTGTCGAACTCTAGTCACCCTCTCGAAATATCTTTGAACATATCATTACATCAAATGAAAGTCTTAGTCCTTAAAAATCAGTTTATTCTTAGCTAGATCTTTGTCTTCACTCTTCGAATATCATTCTTTATATTTAATACTCAAATGATATTGCGATATTTTGAGTAAAAAAAAAAGAAGTTTATTGAAAATATTCTTTAGTTTAATTTAATATTTTCATTTAAAGGAAGCTGTTTGGTTTCTATCAAATATAACAGCTGGTAATCAACAACAAGTTCAAGCAGTAATTGATGCACAATTAATTCCCGACGTTATTCATCATTTACAATATGTTCGTATAGAAAAATTTTTCTTTTTTTCTCTTAACTAAATCATTATTATTTATATTAGAGTGAAATTCAAACACAAAAAGAAGCTGCTTGGTGTATGTCAAATTTAACAATGAGTGGTTCAAAACAACAAATTCAGTATATAGTTACACAACATGTTATACCTCCTCTTTGGTATATTGAATAGATAATTGTTTTATTTTATTTTTTTTCGTATTTTAAATTATCGATTATTTTATAGTAATTTATTAGTACAACAAGATACTCAAATCTTACAAGTGTGTCTTGATGCTATTCATAATATACTTAAACAAACATCAGAAGAAAATCTTGAAGCTATTATAACAGAAATTGAAGAATGTGGAGGTATTTAATACAAAAAATTAAAATCTCTTTTTTTCTCTCGATTATTTAAATTATTAGGTCTTGATAAAATTGAAAATTTACAAACACATTCAAATGGTGATATATATCAACAATCATATGAAATAATTGAAAAATTCTTTTCAAATGAAGCTGTAAGTCAAAAACAAAAATAGTAACAAAACGAATTAAATAATTTTATTTTTTTCATAGGATGATGAAGATATTTCATCAATGAATCAAGCACCAACATTACTAAATTCTAGTAATGAATTTTCATTTGGAAATATGAACACAAATCAAGCTGTACCTGATAATAATAATGAAAATAATGCACATTTTCAGTTCTAAAATATTCTTTCAGTTTATTCATTTTCTTTCTTTTTTTTTTTTTTGTTTTTTTTTATATTCGAAGATTGTCACGACAAAATAAAACTACATTTGTCCATTCGTATCTTTTACTGTATAAAGTGCTATTATATTGTTTCTGAATTTCAAATAAAAAAAAAAGAAAAAACAAAACACAACAAACATTGTGTTTGATTTTGTATTTAATGGAAATGTTTAAAGTAACACAAGAGCCAGAAAAACAAAGTTGTAGAAGAAGCTCAGTACTGCTTTGAATTTTGAAAAGTATTTATTTTCTTTGCCTATAACATCAGATTGTCTTATTTCTAGACGTTGTTAAGCCATTCTCTAACGCCACCACTAGACTAAACTAGTGGCGGAGCCACGATTTCTGGTTAGAGAGGACTCGACCCCTACCGACCTTTGAGCCTCCTGGAGGCTCAACGATTCGTAGGGGAAGCTGATCCTCTCGGTTCCGCCACTAGTTCAAACTAGCCTCCGACAAATATTCTTTAGTATAATTCATAGAATTTTATTGCTGCCTATAGAAAGCCATGTATATGCTTCTTTTTTTTAAGTTATTTTAAGCTAGTCGATAGATGTCGCTATTACGCAAGTAAAATGAATTTAAATGAATGTGTCATTTCGTGACAAAATACATTCTTTTTTTTTTATATTCAGTATATAGGTTACTTTTAGAAAAAAAATACAATAGAAAAAAAAGCATGCTGAGAATGCATTAATAATTGGTAGCTCATAAAAAAAAAGAATAAAAGAAAGAAAAAAAAGTAAGCACATCCAAATTTATTTTGATTGGCTTTTGTTTTTTGTTTTATGTCGATTATTATTATATGTTGCAATTATGTAATTGTAATTAATTGAATGTGTAACATTTTGAGAAATTTCTCTTTTTATCTGAATGAAATTAATATATTTTTACAAATTTTTAGATAATGATTTTCATAAAATATCATTGTATTATTCGATTGTTAGATAAATTTATTTGAAAGAATATTTCTATTCATTATTATTCGTCCCTATCTTTATGATAATTTATTATTATCGGTTATGCAGCTCAAAAAAAAAGTTTTATCAATATGAGAATCTCTTATTTATACATTAGAAATGCGTAGGGTAAGCTCTTTTTATAACCTTGTCGTACTATAGAAATTTTTTTTACCTTCACGTGACCCTACACTCTATGGTGAGTAAGATATAATCATTCTGCAAGCTTGACTGCACTTTTCTCTTTCCTTGACCTTCTCTCCACCTTACCATGTACAGTTATATCATATATTTCCGTTATTTGGACTATATGACGATTGCATAGTTAAAATGTATACACTTTCAGTTTGTTCATTATTATTGCTTTATACATATGAACGAAAAAAAAATTTTTCACTGGTATTCCAAATGAAAGTAATTAGCAGATGTATGTATATATACTCTGTCTAGTAATTGCAAGAAATAAATGTTCTTAATTAGATCTTCTTTTACAGATTTGATTTTCCTCAGATTAATAAATATTACTGTTCTGTTTTTTTTTTGCTGTATTTAATATTTTATCAAAAAAGAAAAAAAAAGACATTTTTTTGTTTCATTCATTTGTTAATTTGTCTATGAAATAGTAGTAAGTGTTGGTGGTGTTAAAGTTTCTATAACATAATATGCATGTCTTGATTTAAGATTTTGAATTTTTAGATGATATTTTTTTGAACATTGATTTACTTTTTCTTCAATGAATTTTGAATTATTTGGTTCATTTGAATAATAAATTTTATATAGTTTTTTAATTAGATTTTCATCAGTTAGTTGATCTGAAAAAGTATAGAGATTAATTTTTTTCAAAATTAATTCTTTTTTGTTTTGTTTTTCTATTCATACTATATATTTCTTGTCGTTCATTAATATGATGAAATGTTGAAAAAAATTCATCTGGAATTTCATTTTCATGATTATCTCGAGATTCATTCATAAATTGACATGTAAAATAAACAATCATACCCATTCCATAGAATCCAATATATATTATCATAAAAACTAAAGCACCGAAATTTCCGATTAAAAAATAACGATTTTGTATATCTGTTGTTGTCGAACAATTCATTGTTAGAATTAACTTTTCTTGTTCGTACTTTTTCTTTTTGTTAATGTAGTTTAGTAAAAAAAAAAAAAAAGAAAACGTATGCAATTGAGTGGAAAATGACACAGCTTGTCAGCTTTGTATATATATTGAAGAATCAAGCAAAACGAAAAAGAAAAAAAAAAAGAAAGGTGTTTTACGTTGGTTGAAAAACGTTTATATTTTAGATGAGGCCATCTATGAAACGTACGATAATTACATCGAAAACTACAGGTCGACGATATTTTTTAGTTCGATCATCAAATCGAGGACCTGCGCGACGATATTATGTATGTTCAAGACCAGATTGTGATTCACGTTTAACTCGTGAAGCTGATTTTTTTTGTCGAGTGTAAGTTTACAATAAAATAAATGATCTATATTAATATTAATTATTAGTCATTCACAAGTAAAAAATTCCGAAAATGAAGATATTGGTGATATATCAACAAAATCAGATAATGGTTTATAGAATTTAATTATTTTATAATTATATAGTTTATTGTTTTTAGTTGGTGAAGATGACTTAAATGATAATGGTGAAATAGTTGATGAAGATAATTCAAATGATAATGGTGAAATGGTTGATGAAGGAACACCGATACAGGTTGGAATATATTGAAGCTCTTTTTTTTTGTTTATTTTGAATATTTTGAAGATGAAACAAAGTACAACTTTGGATTCGATTGATGATCATGAACAAAATGGAAATGGAATTCATGGTACGTATGATGTTTTTTTTTTTCGGAAGTATGTTATGCGAAATTATATGTTTATTTATCAATTGAAAAGCTAAAAGAATAGTATAATTATTGATACTAATCAGAAATACTATCTAGAAAAAAATTTCGAAATAGTTCGATCTATTTTCTATAAATAATAGAAGATAAACTTGTAATGTATGAATATATTAGTATATCCTTACTTTGCTAATTTAACTAATCATGTGAGATTCTTATATATAATTACAGTATAACAAGACTGGCATATATTTTGAAAATAGAATCTCAAGAAAAGAAAATTCTGACTTCTACTTAACTCGTACTTCTCAGTAGTGAAGTCTTGGGTTTTTATTTTGTTTCTTGTTTAGCACTTGTTGAAAATCATTCTATACTTGATGATCTCGAGATTAAAATATTATCTTCATACTTGTGACTAATCTTTTCAATGTAGATATTAACTCGAGAAGTTTTTTAATATGTTTTGTATAGATTCAAACGTTGAATATGAATATAATGATGCCAGTAATGGTTTTAATACGCTTTCGTCTCGACAAAGAGCAAAGGTTAGTTTGTTTATTTATTTACATGAAGAAAACAAAAAAAATAAAGACTTGAATTCTTTTCGATTGTTTAGGCAAATCGTGAAATTCATGTCGATGAAACAACTGGCATACGTAGTTTTCGTGATAGCTCAGGTCGTCGTCGATATCTTTGTATGCGTGAATCATGTACAAATATGCTTAAACGTCAAGCTGATATTTTCTGTCGAACGTAATAATTATTTTTTTGAAAATAATTCTAATATATTAAATTTAATAATAATTTACTTTTATAGACACTCAAACAATCGTATAGATGAAGATCAACATAACAAAAAAAAGAAAGGACATCATAAACGTTATTCAACTTCATCATTGTCTAATGAGACACAAAATCGTTTTCGTTCACCATTTTCAACTACAACTACAACATTAACAAGTCAAACTAGTACAAATGAAGATCATTCAGAAGAATATGAATCACCAGAAAAAGTAAATTATGATTAACTATTGATTTTTTTTTTCTTCTTTGTTTTAACTTATTTTATTTTGATTATTAGCCACCAGAAGCTGCAAGAACAAGTCGAACAGTTCGAGATGCATCAGGAAAAATCCGGTTTGTTTGTTCGATTCCATTATGTACTAGTCAAGTACCTCGAAAATCGCAAGCTTTATGTAGACGGTAGTTAAATTTTTATTATATTAATAAATTATTTCTAAGAACAATTATAGACATCTACTTGAAGCTTCAGCACAAGAACTTGAAAAAAACACACTATCAACTACTACAAATGATACTATTAATCCTAATCACGGTAGGATCAAATTTTTATTTTTTTTGTTCATTGAAATAATGTTTCTTTTTTTTTTCTTTGAATAGAAGACAATAGTGTTCCTGAGATAGACGTGAATGTAAGTCAATGAAAAGAGTTAACAATCTACAATTTTGCCGCTAGCAAAATCAAAAAATTATATTACTCAAAGATAGTTTGATTAATATTTCTTAGAAATCGATAATAGAAGCAAAAATGGTTAATTCAATAACATTGATACTCAAAAAGAAAAGTAGTTCAAATTTCAGTAGATATATGAATATTTATTCTTTCGTTATAATTCAAAGAAATATTCGTACTATCATCAAGTTACCATCATTTATCAAATTTGTGCATATATTTAAAGAATTACGAAGACTACAAAAAAGAAAGAAAGTTGATTGATTTTGAAACCAAAACAAAACTCGACTTTGCAGCGAACCGAGTTGAACTCTGCTATCGATCATTTTTCTCTTTCTATTGAGAAAATCAGTTTCTCAATCTTGTTTTTATCTTTCTTTCATTTTGTAGTTGAATATAAAGTTGTCTTTCTTTTCCAATGTATACAATCTGTGACCTTTATATTACTATGCACTAGAGGTCGAGTTGAACCGAGTTTTTCTAGATCGAGTTCGGTTCGGTTCGGATGGGTTTTTCAAAAACCGGTTCAGTTCGGCTGCGGTTCAACTGGAATAGTATTACTGCCATTTAATCAAGACTGGACCAAAAATCAAAACTTAGTTTTCAGACGATCAAAATTATCACATGGAAGTTCATATTCGTGTCATTTAACACTGCTAAATACATTTGTAGATTAAATTATATGTTAACATTGATATACGAGAATTAGTAGAAACATTCTACTGCTAATACTAATCTCATACCACTACGGACGATTATTCATCGCACTTTAGAAAAATAGAGAAAGTTATAAAAGAAAAATCAAAGAATTATATCACATAAAAGTGACCTGTTACCATAAACACAATTTGTCTACCTAAAACTAAGAAAAAAAGTAGACAGCAATAGATAGATATTAAATTAAGCATGTGAAACAATCAATAAATGCTCGTTTTTATCTTTCTTAACGGCATTATACTGCTCTAAATCAATGATAGTTTAGTTACTTTTTTGTCATTGGACATTAAACCGTATTCAACTTTTTTTGCTTCAAAATGACTTCAGATCCGGTTCGGTTCGACTTTATTTTAAAAAGTCGGTTCGAGTTCAGTTCGTTTTCGACCTCTGATTATGCATCGTAGTCTGATATCAATAAGGAAAAGCTTGTGCGACACGTAATTTCTTATTCTGTTAAGCTTTTTCGTGCTCTCGTATAGAATTTTTAAATGAAGAAAACATTGAAAATGCTTTTTGTATCTGCAAATGCAGAAAACTATCGGTTTTACGCTTATATAGACTATAAAATAAACATAAGCATAGATTTGGGCATGATAGTTTCGATCCGGCCAGGATCGTAACCAATCTACGTACAGAATATTCACAATGTTAGTCAATTTGAAAAATGTAATGAACCTCTACGAGGAAAGATTTTAGAGATCATACAAAATATCTCGAATGCATTGACACTACTAGAAAATCATATCGCATTTCTCCTAGTACATGTATTACTTAAGCGCAAAATCAGGACCACAAAAACGATTGATCATGCTCGTCATTAGATAGGTGTCCACACTATACTGATTTAATCTTTGATAAAACTCTGTTTCTTTTTTTTTGTTTGTTCTAGCATAATAATACTGTTACTTCACCTCAGCCAACATCAATTGAACATTCAATAAAAAAACGCAAGTATGAACCGCAAACTTCACCATCTACAACAATTAATCGTTCTGTATTTCCCGCGAATAAAGTAATAAAAGGAATAATAAATATTTTTATTTTCAATTTATTTATTTTCTTCTTATTTAGATTGTTATTTCTACGACAACTCTTCTCGATCATCAATGGGTAAAAAAGAAAAAGATTCTTTCTAACAAAAAATCAATGTCTAATTCATTTCTAGACTACTGTTCTAACATTTCTTCGTCAATTTCCTCAAGTTCAATTAGCAACAAATTTAAATGTTAATAATTTTACAACGCATTTACTTATTGATGATAGTGAGAAATTATTACATTGTACAATAACAAAAAAAATTGTTCAAGCATCTGCACGTCGTCATATATTTATAATATCTTCACGTTGGATAACTGAATGTATACATTTAAATGAAATTATTGATGAACATCCATTTGAAATTACAAGTGATTCTCATACAACATTACGTTTATCCGTACAAAATTTTCAAAATAATCATAAATATTTATTTAATAATTCATCATCAACATTAATTTATGGTTTTGCAATTGAATGTCGTCAATGTCAAGGTTCAATTAGTCGTAATGAATTAATTGAATTAATTGAATTAACCGGTGCTAAATTATATGATAATGAAAATTCTATTGATATATTAATTGTTTTATGTGATACAAATGAAAAAAATTTAAATAAAATTAAAGAAAAATATTGTCATATAAATGTACCAAATATTAAATATGTAATATGTGATTTTTTACTTAAATCAATTGTTAAATTTGAAATACAAGATGTTGACAAATATTCATTATAAAAAATATCAGCAAGGATATATATATATATATATATATTGAAACTGTTTGTTATATCTGTGTGTGTGTGTGTGATAAATAAATCTTTTGTGATCTTTTTCTCTTTTGTTATTGTTAATATGTAATCTATTGAAAGGAAAAAAAAAAACTTCAACAAACAATAATAATATTATTTAGATAATTAACGATAAAAATATTTTCTAATTAAATGAAAATCAATCGAAATACTTTATGCCATGTAGAAAGAACTTCGAGAATATGAATGGAAAATGTTTTATGTGAGAGACATCCTGAAGACAAAAGAAAAATGAAATGGTATGTTTGATTAAAAAAAAAAAAGGTATTTTCGGATCGTTTATTGATGAGCGTTATTTTTTTTTTGATTTAGATGAAACATATTTGAATAATAAGGTAATTTAGAATTAAATAAAATTTTTAAAACTATTGCTTGTATTATTTTAATTTGATTCTGCCTGTTCGGGTTACACGAATTTCGGTCCAGGTTCAAATTCCTCTCATTAACTTCCTCAAAAACTCGAAATCTTATTAAAAAAATTGATACACTCTGTAGTGCTTAGCAGTATGCGTTTCCAATAAAGCGTAGTGCCCAGCAGGACGACATAGGACCGAGCAGTCTACTTTGATCCTACTAGAAGTGATGTGATCTTTTGAGATAATTATTACTTGTATGCAATAAGTACCAATGTAAAAAGCTAAGTGCTCAATAGGACTACTAAGTGATACTTCTCTAATCTATTTTTAACTAACTAATGTTTCTTCATAAATGTAGCCAATTTTTTGACTTTCTTATTACGTGTCACTTCACTCGTTTTTTATTGCAATCTTTTTTTTTTTCATCAAAAAGAAAAACACAAAACACTACAGATAAATAATAAATTTAACAGTAAAACATGAAGAACAAGAAAAATGTTTGTCTAAATAATAACTACATTATGTCAGTTTTGTTTTTGTTGCTTTATCTAGTATTGCTTGTCTTTCTGTTGTTGCATATGATGTTACTCTTAGCGACAAGGAGGGGGGTAGGTGTAGGTTAAGAAAAGACTCGTACTCACATTCACTCCATACAAGATCGACACACTACACCCTTCCTGCTAGTAGGTACTTTTTAATGGAAATCAATACTGCTAAGTACTATGAAAGTATACCAAATATTCATGAAAATAAGGTTTTTGATATAGATTAATGAGAGGAATTTGAGCCCGATCGGAAATTTTAACCGTTCTAAAATTTGAGTTAAGCTTAAATGTCAATAATCATCTGTCATTTGTGATATCATATGATTAGATGAAAATTTTCGCAAAGTGTAAACAATCGACATAAGACTACACTTAAAAATTTGTGTCATTAGATAAATCAGTCCATCCATCGACTCATATAATCGACTATTGTATATGAAAATATTAAAAAGGCACAATCAAACATAAATATCAACTGTGAGAAGGACGAAAGGCATGTTGTACCCATAGGTTTAAATTAGTTGTTTTGTATCTGTTATAGACACTGTTTATCTAATATCTTGTTCGATAATCTTTGAAGGCAGATGTAGGGATATGTTTCATTTTACGGATATTTGAATTACTTAGCTAGGAGATTATTCTATACATTTTAGATCAGGATACATCTCTGTAAAGAGAATAACAAAAGTTGCTTGGATTCTTTCATTCGAATTGCTTTATAAATGTTAGTAAGAAAACATTTTCTACCGCATGTTTGGTTTTGCACATCTTTCTAATTCATTGAAAATGTGAGTTCTTTTAATTTCTTCAATGATATTTAGTTGTTCTAATAATACGTACATTATATCTTTACATAACTTTCAAAGTTTCAATAAATTTCAATGAAGATTATATGAAAAATATATATATTATTTTTCTAGATTATTTCAAAATTATTAATATGTCAACATTTCTTCATTTATTTTTTATGTATTTAATGGCTATTTTTTATATCATTGCTGGTATTTCTCATTTTTTAACACCAAAATTTTATCTTGCGATTATGCCACGTTATATGCCATATCATCTTGAACTTGTTTATTTATCAGGTATATGCGAAATTATTTGTGGTTTAATGATATTTTTTAAACGTACACGAAGATTAGGTGCTTGGCTTACTATAGCATTACTTATTGCTGTTTGTAAGTTTATTTAATGGAAATTCTTTTCTTTTTTTTTCTTTTATAATAAATATATCTTTGATTTTTGAAGATCCAGCTAATATTCAAATGGTACAAGACTATTGGTCAAATAATCATCCACAAAAGTATGCAATATTAGTTCGTCTTCCACTTCAATTTGTTTTTATATGGTGGGCATATCAATATACAAAACCGATTCAACATTCTAAATTACATTAACAATGAAAAACAAAAAATTATTTATTTTATGACTTTTTTAATATTAATTTCAATTGATTTCAGTTCTTTTTCAAATCTATATTTATGATTATGAATAAGTGAAATTTTCTTTTTTCGTTTAATTTTAGATAAAATGTTTTTATATTTTCTATTTATTAATTTATGTTTATTTACAATAAATTTTGCGGACGATCCCAATCGATTACCAACTAAATGTGAAGGTATTTTGAACATATCGATTTAATCATAAGTTTTAAAGCCAACTTGTATAATGGATAGTAATATCTTTGCAACTAGGTTGGATACCCAGCCTGGTCCGAAGCATGGCTTTCGGTGCAAACTCACTGGGTCGATTAGAGTTCTGGGTATGATCGTATATTCGGATCCGACCCGACAATTAATGAGATCTCGATTTTTCACAACTATTTTTACTTTTTCAAACTGATAATTTATATAAAAGCATAGAAATGAAGATTAGTTCGATCATGACTAAACAATTTATTGTACTTGAGAACAGATTTTACTAAAAAATTCGTGTTTTAATGAAAACTCATTTATAGATGTTTATAAGCCATATGATGAAGCCATTGAATATATAGAGAAGAAAATGAATTATCAAAAAGGTGAAGATGTAAATGCTACGTTTCATTTCAGCATCATCAGCAACAAGCAAACGTATATTTAATAAAATTGATCGAATTTTAGAAGCAGAAAGACACTCAGTAAATCTGAGTCTCTAGCTTTTTTTTATGAAATTTGAAATGATCTCTTTTTTTTTTGTTACTGTTTACGGAAGAAACTCAATAGTATACTTTTTCGTATAAAATAAAAATTTGAAAGTCGTTCTGTCACTGTGAAAATATCTCCTGGAAGTCGATGAGCTCCGATTGAGGTTCGGTTGTGAAAAGTCATACATGGAGAAGACACTAATGAAGAGCATCAGTAATACTGTTTAAATACTATCATACCTTTCGAAAAAGAAAAACGATTAATTTACTCAAACTGATTTGCTCATGTTTATATAATACATCATAATATAACTTACTTTATATTTAGTATGTAAATTACTTGCTCAAGAATTAACTGAAAACTTTCAAGAACATAATAGTCCAAGTGTTATTGAAACTAGTTATTCACTTGATGATAAACAACCAAAAAGAACTAAATATAGTGATTCGTATGTATCCTATTGAGTTTTCTTTATTTTAACTTTTTTTCTTTTCTGTTTTAATTTGTAGAGAAACACGTTTAATTGAAACACTTGAAAATGTTTGTGAGCGATTTCTTCAATATAATATTCATGCTGAACGTCCTGGTTCATTACGTTATGCTCGTGGTCGATCACAAACAATGGAAACTCTATGGAATTTACGGTAAATTTGATTTTTATATTAGTAATATTTATTATTGAAATTAATAATTTTCTTTAGAAATAAAGGTGTTAAAGTTGTTCTTGATGTTCCTGATACAATGTGGGATGCACCATCAGCTGAAATAACTCAATTAAAAAAATATGTTCGTCAAAATCATATTTATTTGATTTTTATAATATTTTTTTCCGTGTTTTTATTTTGTATTTAAGTGTGAAGAAATGGTTGAAGAACAAGAAGAAAATATTGAACAATGGTATTTTGATAAAAAAGTACGAAATGAAATTTCACTTGAAAAATATCTTTGTGAAGATCGAGTATTAAAAAATCGAGATTCATCTTGTCTTCGAGAAATATATACACCATCAAATGAAGAAACAACACATACTCAATCAAAAGGTGACACGGGAAAGGCTGATTTATAAATAAGTAGTCAATTTTTTTTATATCTAATTGTTAAATATATGCTTTCTTGTTATATTAAAATTTACTTGATGATATTAATAAATAAATGAATAGAATTCAATGCCTGTTAATGATTGTATATTATTATTGTTAGAAGTCATTCGGTAATTACTTAAATTAGTTGTTTCAATTGTCTCTAATAATTGACTATTGCTTAAAATATATAAAATCTCTCGCTTGTCTTTATGTTTTTGCGTTCTCTAGCTAAGACATGAACTGGTGTTCAAAATTGTGATAGACGAATAAGGCGGCACTGGTACTACACATAAAAGACGTTAAGAATTTAGGATTACTCTTTCTCTGTTTTTTTAATCATATTTAGTTATCATGGTCAGTACTGTCAAGCAGACTGGAATTCTTATCACAGACATAGGATCTACATACGCTTCCTCCCACATATTAGAAGATCCACTTGCAGAGGACGATGTGAAATTTATAATACAAGACCTGGGCCTTGTGAAAAAACTCTTCACTTAAGTCTTTTTAACCTTTTTTTCGTTGAAATATTGCTGAATCATGTGTATTGGAGAAAAAAAAAGTTACGTAAGAATGAATAGAGGAGAAAGTAATATCTTATATATGCATAATGGAAATATATTTTCTTCGTAGAAGAAAATATTAGATGTTATTTGTATCAGCAGTAATATACATTCAGTGAATATATAAAATATGAAAGAACAACATTGTGTATTCTTTTTTTGATGATGAAGATTCAAATTTGAATAATTGTGACAGTTCTAATAATGATTCAAGGTATTGAAATTATTTCGACCATTGATGAATGTAAAAATAAACTAGTATGTTTATCGATATATCATCAATAGGAATCCGAAGACGATAACAAAGTAAAAGAATACAAATAACGCGACGCAAACGTCGCTGACCCTCCACTGAAAGGATGCGATGTTGTTGAGCGCATCGTATTCGTCCTAGGAACTATGAGACCTAATATCTTCATATACACTTAAAGAAACAAAATTAAAGGAATAGTATATGGAGGGTGTGGGTTGAGAGAAAATGAACTCGTACCTACACCTCACACCCAGCCATACGACCTTCAACACTATAATACGTTAATTGACTACGACTAATAACAGGTTAAATGTTATTTTTGGAAATTTTTTAAGCAACAAAACTTACGCATGTGTATGAACAGAAAGTCTATCTAAATAATACTTTTTAAATTTTCTTAGACTAGCAACAAGTGTTTTTGGAGAAGGTGGATTTTCATCTGTACCACCATCAACAGTAAAAAAGAACAACTGGTTTTACTTGTGCTGTTCCATTGTGTGCAACTTTTTCAAATTAAAAAGACGATCAAAATTCACTGCATGTGATTTAGCATTTGATTGATCATATTTATCTGAACATGTCACAATATATGTTCAACCTGAATAACCTAAACCATCATCTTCAGATAAAACATATGCTGTATAAACACTTGGTGTAAGTTTATGTCTTGATGTGACTGTTCAATCGTGATCGAGTTAATATATATGATAATTCAAATGCATTAACATTGATAACTAAATATGAGCTACTAGTATATTAAGGAGAATTCTATATTTATCATCGTGTCATAAATAAAATACACAATCATTTCCAAAAAATGATGCAAAATCTTTCATATAACGAATAGGTGCTGTTGCAAAATGTTCATCATTTTGTGCACGATGAAGACGAACTGGAACAATTTGATTATGTCGATGATCTTCTATTGATGATATACGATAAGGGAAAAGACTAAAAATAACATTCTTTGTTTTGTTTTTTTGAATCAAAAGAATTTATCTTTTATCGATAATAAAGTATTGCTCATTTAAATTTGATACTAACATCATGTTGTTTTATGTTTTTCACGTAAATCATTTAATATTAAACAAGAACGAATGGTTTCTGAATGTCATCGATCATCACCAGCATGACCAACTTTATCAATTTCTTTAATAATTTTTAATAAATCGAGACGTTATCCTTTAACAGATGGTCGACTATCACCATGATGATGAAGTTTATTTAATTGTGCATTTAATTAAGGCTTTGTTTCTAAGAAATAATCAATCTAAAAAAAAGGAAAAGAATATTTAGTTATTTGAGATTTGTTTTTGTTTATTCCAAGGTTTATTGGATACAATTTGTCTTGATTAACGATTTTTTAAATTGATAAACCTTCTTTTTTCGTCGATTCAAGCATTACTTGTTTTTTGGGGTGTGGGTGTTGGGTATCGGTGTGAAGAAACGGTTCAGACTTTTCTCACATCTATGCCCATATCCCACACACCCACGCCCTCGACATGAAATTTGCTATATTTGTTCATCAAATAGATCATCACGATTTTATAAATATTTAGCGTATAGTTAGGTTAAATGAATATTAATTTATATGAAAAAAATCTGTTATAAGATTAAATTAATATTATCACCAATATTATTTTGTTCGAATT